CCCCCCCCCTAACACGACATACGATATTGAGAATAAGTGCAGTAAATGAGCAAATAAATAAATCAGCCTTACTTTTGAGAACCAATCACCTTCGTAATCAGTGGGCCAATCAACTGCAAGACTATTTGTTAGCTTCTTCGTATATAGCTCACTTATTATCGACTTAAATCCAAATTCCCAACAGGTCTTTTTATGAATTCCGCTAAGTTCCCACTAGATTAAGGTAAGCCACCCATGGGGTCAGCGTGCTTAAGCTGATTGAGTAAGCTGCACAAGCACACTTAAGTGATTACAAATAATGCTTTTCTTGACGCTTTATCTTATGCTTCGGTTAAATTATTCAAGCGAGACTTAAATGATAGGAGAGTGCGCGCATTTGTTTCATAATGGGTTAAAAGACATTGAAGAAACGGGATTGTGTTCCGTTCTCTTATGTGCTGAACACATGGATATGGCTCTTGGCGGCTAAAATGGTTAAGGTGACCTCAAATTTAGTCAAAAAAATTTTTCAAGATGCACAAGAAATGCTGTGCATGTGAGATCCTGATAGTGTTGAGTCAGAAAATGGGTGGGGGACATTTTGTTGAAAAATATGGAATCCTTCTCAGAATATCGGGTGGGTCAGCGTCCTACTAAGTAGCGGTGCCAGTTTACGCCATAAGGGTCATATTACAAACTTTGAATGTGTTTTATTCGCCCGTTCATGGTTCTGTTGATTTCTCATACTCTTCAGCACCACCTTACATATTCCTTTTTAAAGAAACGATTTTGAATTTGTGATTGTAACCCTCCAAATGGGCAAACCATGGAACACAAATCTGCTTAGCTTGCACCTCATTGTAAATCCAAATGATTTGTTAAGTGATGTGACTACGGAAGTTTAAAATAAATCTTATTGCGCCTCTCCCAATGTATGATACTAAGGCATGGCTTTTCGCCACTTCTCCAGGTCGATATATGTAGCATCCACGTACAGAAGGGGCTGACAGATCACTGCCATCTCTTAAAGGCCGCATCACCTAATGAAAACTCGATGGCCCTCCACTAGTTACCATATTGTCATACAACACGAAGAAGACCTCATTTCGGTATCAAGACGGTCGATCTCTCCACGCTTTTAATGTATCACCTTATTGTGATTATAAATGGAAGATTATACCTATTTTTCGCGTATCTCAGACAGGATTTTCTCATGTCGACTAACTATTTTTAATAGAGAGTCATAAAGCATCGAGAACCGGGTAATCACCTTCACTATCCTAACGTCTTAGTGTTGAACGGTCACGTCTTTCCTCACTACGCTACACTGTGCTGGTATGGACCTTGCAATTCAATATACATAACAAAATTAAGCAACACATGTCATTCCATGGAAGCTTTAATACTATTACCTGAAAAATCATGTGTGAAATACCCTTTGTCATACATTCCTATTAGTAGAAAGCAAGTGAACATAGTATGCCTTCACCTGCATCATTTTGCCTCGATTTTTATGCATTAATGAAGCCCCTGATCTGATTTATACACCTTAAATGTTTTCGTTTGGCGAACGACTCATTCATGCCAAATTGTTATCCAATTTGTGAATCCAGGTTACCACTAAAGTTGACGGACGTCCATTTGCTACAGTCAGGAGCTCCAGGTTATCAAAAGTTATAAGTACGTCGATTCATTATCAAAAGTGGGAGTATGTATTATCTTAAACGATTAGATCACAGATGCCAAGCGAACTCAAAAAGAAGATAAAAATAAGGTTTATATATAATTATAGCGCACATGCCTAGGCGTAAAATTAATGCAAAAGCATAGGATGAAGAAATAACTAGGCATTTTCTCTGCCTTAGAATCAATTTTCCAAGAGAGGGTACACTCATTCTCTTGCCGAAGTAGCACTGTTACTTCTGGCTGTGATGGGCTTGACGGTGGCAGTGGTTGGAGCATCAGTGGTAGCATTATCAAAATCGTGTGCTGTGGAGGAGTGTTCAAGCAAGGCGGTCGGATTGTCTTGCCCACAATCCTCATGATCCTTTGGAATTTCATCGGGATGAAGAATGCTCACTTCTTCGGGATGCCTCCTTAGCTTTATTCTGCGCTTTCGTGCCTCTTCAGCGTAGCGGATGCTGCTGAATGCATCCAGATCACTTCCTTCACGGGAGTCCTCAGCTAAGTCCCTCTTATTGGCGTTATCCACCAAATTCTCGCGCCATCGTCTCCGGCCAGACACAGCAAGTTTGTGCTTTCGACGTTGGAAGAACCCAAATCGGTAGAGGATGAGGGTTAGGAGAGTTAGCAGCAAAATACCCAGAACTAGGCCGACCACGATTGGCCATATGGGAATTTGATGGAAAATTGTCGGTTCAATTTGCGTGAAGTGGAATATCTGCGGCATATCAAAACTACCTATGGGTTCTGGCGATCGCAAAACACCTTTGGGCACGGCTCCTTGATCCACAGTCAAGCTAGTAACAAGCTGGAAGACATAAAACAGCATGGATTCACTAAAGGACTGCATTCCACAACTATGAGGATGAGCGGTCACTAATTTTTACAAGTGTAAGAAGCTTTCTCAAGTTACCCGCCTGCTTTGTAATAAGATTTTCTGAAGCTGTTCAGGGAATATTTTGTGGTTTGAGGAACCAAATTCACGTGACATTTGGATTTATTAATCACACGAAAATAAGAAATTAGTACAACGTACATTGCTTGAGAGGTAATTAATCCAAAGCCCTGCCTTTAACTATTACAATGCACACTGTTCCCGATATCTCATTTACAGTTGCACTGCAGATATACAGTACCAGTAAATGCATTATGCTAGTCTGCAAGAATGTCACGTATTTTTCCTTGTATTTTGCTTGCTTGTAGCATGAAACCTTACCTAAATGAGAGCTATTGTTGCTGCAAATGAAACTAAGATAGTTCATCTATTTGCTAGAGGTTTGTAGGGCCTGCCGATCAATATCATCACTAGAAACAGATACAGATACAGATACTTGAGAAGTGAAAAATTTATGGATTGGTGGTGTAATAAAACGCTGGTAGCTTAAATTATGAGACTTTAGTCGTTGATGCATCGGAGAGAACATAAAAGCCATAAGTATTTGACACAACAAAAGGAAGAGTTCTTATGCCCTCTTTAGAGTAGGAGGCTTCATCACGTCAAATGATAGCATTGCTATCCGGCGAGTTTAGTCACCGTTTCGCCCTTCGCTTCCACTTCCTTACTTCAGCTTCGAAAGCCAAATTCCTGTCCTGGTTACGGCCTACCATTACAGATATTTCAAAGGATTGGGGTCCCTGTATCAACCGAATAAATGTATTCTCTCGCCAAAAATTATTACTTTTCCTTTAAAGCGCGACTAAAACAGGTCTTGTGAGTTTGTATGTTAATATACAAGACAGTTTCCCGGACAAAACCAAAGAATTTAAACAATTTACTCCAAAATATTAGCAAACCATTAAAAATTTGATTGAATTTGTAATCTCTTGACTGCAAATTGACTGAGATCAAAGCCTTTTGCCCTTAACAATTATCTGTGAATGTGTTCAAGATTGGAGGGTCAAGCAAAGTCCGCCATATGAGGTCGGACACAATTACAATCATGTGATTGCAATTAAACATATTGTGCGTCCCGTCAACACTAAATGGGTGTCGTTGGTAAGAGCCAAAATGTGGATGTATAGAATAAACAGTGATTTATACGATGACTGTGATCCAGATTGAGAAAATTCATGAATGAATGTTTACGGCCAAGCGCAAGCATGCACAAACCTATTGACATGCGCATGCTTATTGCTGGCACAGTCAGAGCTGATTAGGCTAACTGGCATCTAGGGTCAGCAAACAGATGATCAAGTGACAGCTGTAACATAATTGAGAGAGGTAGCCTTTGAAAAAGGATCTCTTGAATTAAAATACTGACTCTATCACCCAACCTTCTAAAAATTTAATATTATGCAAATTGCTAGATGGACATGACTGAAGAGAGGTGAATGAATGACTCAATAAATGATTGCCGGAAACGTTTCTAGCGAGAAAATTACCTTAAGGAACCTGAGAAATTTTGATGATAATTTGGCCAAGTCAGGAATGTTCCGATAGTATTTGAATGTACAAGTTACTGCCACGCCTCGACGACTATCAGCGTCGTCTGCAATCAACGCCGTTCCGACAAAATGCAGGCAAAAAACAAGACTATTTTACGTTATTGTTTCTGTACATTTTAGCCCGCATAGTGTCGTTTTCTACAGTTCCTCATAACGGTACTTTTATGCAAATCCATCTTCTTGGTTTTAGGGCGCAATGGAGAATGAGAACAGAATAAAGTTTGCGAACAGTTTAGTAATTAGGATGTAAAGCTAATTTTATGGAAGACAAATCTTATCAAGGACGGAAACTGAGGCAATAAATCAGCTCGTAAAGATTTAAAATGGCAAATTAACAAGCGATTGAATAAAACTTTTTAAGTTAAAATACTTTTCTAAATCATGCCAAGCATATTTTATTTTCGTGCTTTGGAATATTCCAAACCACCATGAGTGTACATAATGCAGGAATGTGCTTAGATTAACTCTTCTTGGAGTGGTGCTAAAGCATTTAAGTTGTTAGACCTGATGCGAAAATATAAGCAATTTTTTCATCTATCATTACAGTAAACTTATATAACACAGACTTGGGCTGCTAAAATTGGCCCCACCCACGATGCAGGGATGCAAAGGAAGTGGGTGCCCGGTATCCTTGCCAGGGGAGTTTGAGAGAGTGCCAACATTAAGGCCTTAGTCTTGAAGGGTGTCGAGCTCTCCAACATTTACTTTAATAATAGCACAAATAGAGTAACACACCTCAATGTCAGATGCGGAATACTGAAAGAATGTTGAAGCATAGAGCCAGCCTGTTAAGCTGATCTGAATTGGCCGCTTCTTCGTCAGTTGTCTTACTTGGCAGATTATCTCAAGGCACAGTGGTCTCCCAAACTTTTGTCCCACCCGCCCACATTGAATAACCTACAAATAGGTGGAATAACACGTCGTTTACACCCTCCTCTTTTATTTATTAAGTAATTGAATTGTAATCACCCATTAATATTCAAAAACCCCATTGAAACGCAATTTGTTTAACGGAATTACCACAATCCAGTATTTATGAAACGATGCCCTTACCTTTGTGGAAGTGTGGGACGAACTTTGATTACAAAGCTAGCTAGAACATCTCTTCGAAGAGCCTCGACTATATTTTTAGCCACCTCTGACAATGCCTACAAACCTGAGGTTAGCATCGCTTCATCGACGTTTTAAAGTTTGACAATGGGGTTGGAAAAGGGCTTGCATACGTTGTTAAATGAAGACATTTAATGCATAAGTAAAAATGCAGTTTAATTTAAGGAAAGAATTGCATGTATTTTATTCTCTATTTGAGAAGGCTTAGGCAAATCCATCCATAACAGTTATAAAGTTTCCACAAGCATATAACATTTTTTATGTGGCGAATCTCACGCATTAGCACTTGAAAACATGAAATTTTTTGCTTAAAAGATTCCAACACGCGAGGAAACTTTTTTTGTACATACAACGTATTACACAACCATCTTCGTTCATTAGCTTGTGGTTAAAAGATTAAATAGTTCCCAAGCAGGTATAACCTTCAAGTAACTTATTTCTATACCAGTTTTAACGAAAAACTGTGACATTTTCCTCAATTTAATTTTATGGGGAAGTATAGTGCATTCTAAACTGCCTCATTAGCCTTGTTTGAAGGGCCAGTAATCTAAGACTTCATTTAGCAAACCACTTCAACATGGCCATATTGCTGCACGTGAACGACTTCCGTTAGGAATAAGTTAAAAAATCTTGGTGCAACAGTCAGATCGCTGCTTGACTTACAATCTACCTTGAAATTCTACCGTAGGGAATAGACCCCTAAAATCTACATGCATGATTCAGCATGAACTTAGCACAAACATCGGAGGTTTGTGCGCATGCACTGCTGCCAACAATCGCGTTAATACAAGTTATTTTGCAACTTAATCGCTCCACTTTTCCACTCACCTCTTTAGGCACTCGCCGGAATGAAACTTTCTGTGGATGGTCTACATTGTCGAACCGTTCCACTGACTGACCGAGAGAATCGCTATTATTGTAATCCCATTCGATCGACTCCATCCTGTTTGCATCTAGCGGAATGGGCACATTGCGTCGGAATCGCCTCACCTCAAAACCTGCATTAAGTAAAGTTGAAGCATACGTTAGTCTTAGCATTACACCTATTTAGTTAGCAATATGTTTTGAAATGCCTTCTACTCTAAGTTTATCGTACACGTGTCATGTCTTCGAAAAGCGAGAAATGTTGACCTGTTTCATTTCAACTAGATTCTTTACCCTTAACAATGGTCAAGACTGCAAGGCATTTTATCGCGGAATCGGGGCTGCACTGTAAGGCTCAAAGCACTGGCGATGTTGGGGATTGTAAATACTGGCCTTCAATGGTTGGAAAACCTTAAGTTACTAGCCGTCCTTTTCACCACACACCCTACAGGTATCCTAAACCTGGATAGCATAAAATCTCTACAAGTACTAAAAGTGTCCTTTATGATTAACTTCGATGGTTCCGTTTAATTAACCATCAAAAACTGCGATTTGGATTGTTTTGATGTGGAGTTAGTGCAGCAACACGTTTGCCTATGCGTTTGAAGCATATCCACATATTGCGCTATTGACATTCGCTAGCAGTCACGCGCCCATAATACGAATGCCTAGGGTAACTAACATCGCGTACCTTAACTGATACACCAAATGTGCGCAGTTCTTTGTAGTGGTCATTCGGTTAACATAGCTAATCTGTCATGCTGCAGGCTAGTCGGGGTGTTCAGACAGGGGATATAAGAGATGTAATTCGTAGCTGTCTGTCAAAATATGGTTTGAGGTTAAAATTCTCCCGATTTCAGTATCGCAATGCAGTTGTGCAAAACACCTCACTTCTGCCTTTTTGAGCGGATTGACAGGCGAAAGCAGTGACAATCAAACAAAAATCCATTCATTTTCAGCACGTTAGTAGACGTTTATGATATCAACTTGATTGATCTCTTAAATTGTCATTTGACACCTGATTTATTTTGTGTGCATTGAGGATAAAACTGACCCTGATGGAGACTGAGGTCGGAACTCTTTCAACTGCGTTTCAAACCGTTTTGTGGCAGGCAATGAACAATAAACTAGAGCTGAAATTTATCCTTTGTATTGGTTTGCTCGCGTATAGAGTGATTCCCTACGACTCGACTCATGCTTAAACATATCCATGGGGTAAAATACCGCCTGAGTTTTTTTGGTATTTTTATTAAAAAACGGTAGCATATCAGCATTTATTGTCCCAAGTACCCTTTAAAACACCGAAAATTTCACAAATGCATTAAAGTTGTTTGAATTGACGCTGTAGGTCAGAGGAGGGGTATAAAAGCGAACACCGCGCTAGAACATCTGCTTTGAGTCTAGTTCCTTCTCTGGTTTCATACTACTGCTCTCACTCTTCTGAGATGCTGAATAAAAGGATTTGTAAGCAAACTGTTATCTGAGGGAAAATCAAGGAGAGTCTTGGGCGACGTCGAGGTTGGAACTACAATTACTCTTAAGGCATGCCACCGTCAAGTCACCCAACCATTGAGATCTACTTTATTGGCTAATCCGGCATAACTTCGGCTTGTGTCCTCAGCATGAGTCTGTATTGCTCTGGTCCAGATTTTGCAATCGTGACAATCATCCCTTACCTATGGGTTACGCTTAGGAGTTCGTTACTCGACGTCCTCTCTGATTATTTTCCATCCCATAGAGGAGAAAAAAATATTCCCCTTGAGATCAGTTTTCCGCCATTCACACGCACAACTTACTTTCCTGCTGTTAGGCTGAGAAGGAAATGCACCATTTATGAGTTTTGCCCTGACAATCGTACACTTCGAATGATGTGCGATGGTTTTTTGGGTCAAGAACTAGTGTCTGAATCGTAATACTATTTGTAATAAATGCGCTTATCATTTCTGGAAATGATTTGATTATCCGTTTAATGGAACTAAAAATTTCGCATTTCTTTGTTGTAGGATAGACAGAGGCATAGTGGGCACTCCCCCTACGTTGCCATTGGGAGAGGCAAAATTCTTCATACACCTTGATCGACTAAAATTTGGCAGTTAATGGGTTATAATCGCGTCTTGTAATGCGCTACACTTCAAAATAAAGTAGAAAAGCAAAAGCAATCTTACTTGACATATCAATTCCAATCCATCTATTTGGATTAATCAGGGACTCGTCATCGTACCAGCAGCTGGTCACTCCGTTGGCGTCGCTCGAAGAGATGTCAATCTGTTTGACAGCGGGTCGAAGTGGCACCCAGTTCATGTCGATGCCGTTTGACGAAGGAGCTCGAACCTCATTAAATAGGTAAACTAATAATTTGGGCTTGTTCACCAATCTTACAGGTACTTGCAGTCGAAATGTCACATTTTCCACTTGCTTAACGGGTCCCATGTGTTCCACTTGGAAGGTGTGCTGTATTCTAGGACCCATTTCTTCGACTCGAATTCGTTGGCGGAAGCCCGGAACCCGGGAGTTGGGTTTTGTTCGATTGTCCAGCACACTCGATGGTGCATGACCTGCGGGTGTGATGAGATACTTCGGGGCATGAAGCAACTTATACCGCCAAACTATGTGGTTCTTCTGTGGTTGAGGGTCATAGGTTTGTGATGAAATGGAAATATTCACATAAGAGGGAAGGGAGAAGTCATTGTTTCCCTTTTCGTTGTTGGCTGCATAAAAGGTGATCAATCGAATTCGACGAATAGGTTTGGATGCGTTTTCTTGATTATATTCAAGACGCCCCAGCTCGCAGGCAACCCATGTGTCATTATTAAGGGGATGTGAACATACAGTTTGTTTGTAAGCATATTTTTCAGTACTATTATTTTCTTGGGTCAATTCAAATGCAGAGAAGCGAAGATTGCCAAAAAATGCCATATTTATCCGCACACCACCAGCAAACGTTGGCCCATGATTGTAAATGTTAATAGCTAGTTTACTCATTGCCCCTTCTTTATCACCGTAGATTAAGACGGTTTCTCCGCTTGGATTGGAATGTATAGAATTTGCAAACTTGCCAGATTTTTCATCGGTCACAAGGAGCGATACATCACTTTCACATCTCCCTTTTGGTAGGCAAACATATTTGGTTAATCGGAGTTGAAAATTGCATTCGGACCAATCTATTATGGGTCTATGCACCCAGGCACCTCCGGTGCAGGCTTTTGTGTCCCCCATTGTTTTCGCGCCTTCCAGGCAAGGGATGTTAAACCTGTACTGCACTTGAATCCCTCCACCCGGCTGTTCCAGACTTGGCATGTCTTCCACATCCATCTGTGGCAGTAAGTCGAATTTCAGAGAAAGTGTATCGTAGTAGGGGTTTAACTTCACACTGTAAAACGCACTAAGTCTGAACCTTTGTTTGCTAGTCTCTTTGGCCCAGAGATCAGGAATTACTTGATGAACAAGGCCTTGAGCCTTTACATTTGCTACTCGTAGTAACTGCTCAAGACTACTTCCATTATTCTTTCCCAAAGATGTTAGTCTTACTTTTAGTTTGATTGGTATTCGTGCATTGCGACGAATGCGAATACTGCCAAGCCAGTTCGGCTGGTAGAATCGGCAGACAGCTCGATAATGCGCTCGGGAAGTGTACACCATTGGTAAGCATGATGTACAGTAGGGAACGGGTAGTGCAAAATCAGGCCATCCATTAAAGTCCAGATCCATACCTTTTCTTGGTAAAATGGAACCAAAATATGGCGCATTTTCTGGGCCTGAGATAACTTGAATAGGTCTCCTGTCAAAAGTGCAATTGTTGAGAATAGTAAGGATATAAACACGTCCACTTTTCGATTTATCCCGTAGTTGTGGAGAACCAACAGCAATATCTTTATAACCATCACCATTAATGTCTCCGAGAGCCATTAAAGAATAACCAAAGGCCCCAAACTTGGAAGGAATATAAACAAAATCTCGATAACTTCCCGTTGGCACTGATTGTTTGTTGTTATCGTCAACCGCCAAATTGGTTGAAACGCAGTAGACATACACTCGGCCACCTTTTTCAGCGTATGGCGAGCCCACAACTATGATGTCCTGTCCGTCGACATTTTTAAAGTGTATCATTGATGTCCCAAAGCCCGAGAATGATGCTGTTCTATCCACATGGCCTTGCCAATCAAATTCCACACCTCCAGCTGTGCGTATACTCCGAAGGTCACCCACCTTAAATAATTGTATCAACTCTGATGCGTTTGATGGTTTTTGTGCTTCTCTAAAACCATCACCGACAATCGATACATAGTCTCCAGCTACTGAATATCCAAAATAGCTTTTCGGCAGTGCGGTTTCGAGACTGTTGGGACGGTAGACAGTAAAAGTCCGCTGGTAATAGAAAGGGTCGGCTAGAATTTGTGCTCGACCCCATCCAATGGCCAATGGTTGTCCAACAATAACATGAATACCTTTAAGAAATTCGAGTAAGCCAGAATTAGCTCGACCTTTTGGAACTAAATCTACACTGAAGCCTGTCATGCAGGGTTCTGTCACCTTTCCTCCAGTCCGACAAAACGATACCAGCTCGTGCCGTGGTCGGATATTGTCGTTATGAAGAAGCTGTATGTAACATCGACCCGCAGGGAAATGGCTCTCACCCCCCCACAGGGGATCACAGTACGCTACTAGACCCATATTTTGACTGATTTGGAGTGAAGCTGATGTTGCTCCAAGGTACGAGGTATTATTGAGTCCTTGCGATAAGTCTTGACAGGGGGATGTGAATGCCAATTGACCCGAAGAGGAAAGTGTGAATTTGCAGAGTTGAACAATGCCATCTTCACGGGGGTAGGGTGGATAATTGTGCCTGGACCACGAGCCACCTAGAAGAAGGAATGATACGTTATACTGTGGGAGGGAGAGAAGGCTGATGCTGCTCCATGAAAATTTTTCATCAAAAGCGCGCTTTGAAGAGGAGAATGCATGATGTTTAAATTGAGGCAGAGGATAATGCTTGAAAATCCAATGGTCGAGCCGATCTGAGGGATCTGTCTGGGGATTCCACAGTTGTGCATTCAGTTCTTCCGACTCTTCTGCTAGATCAACGCTTGATTTTTCTTCCAAACGGTGTTTCGCTTCGTTTCGAACGACGGCAACGGAACACTGGATGCGAAGTCCAATAAGAATACAAATTACAATAGCTTTTGAATGCATTAAACATGGAAATTTGAGGATTTACGCAAATCTATCTGCTCCTCAGTTCATAGAAGTACCATCACCGTTAAGTCGCCACGACTTAGCTCTATGCGCGCAAAACACGCCCTTGTGCGTTAGATGGCTTAAGAATGCCTGAAAGGCGGTTGGCTCTTGCATCTGATTGGTTCAAAGAGGAAGGGTTAGATTGGGTTGTGCCTAGGTGGATAGTCATACGTCTTTTGGCTCGTCACCATTTTGCATATTAAGACGTAAACATTTTGAGGGAAGAGTTGGTTGAACTATTTCGATGGCAGTGATTCTGATGACCAATAAATAAATTTAACTATGTCAATCAATAAGATGCACTACATTTCGTGAGTAAAACCCTTTACTGCTTAAGCAACGATGTTACAGCAAGGTACGGTCAGGATGAGGCTGAAGAGTGACAGCTAGGAATGTTAAGTTTGAAAGTCTTGCTACTCCTTTCAAATAGACGTCGGCTAATGGAATTGCCATTGTAAAAATGAACAGATGCTGAGACAAGTCAATAAAGCTTTAAATTTCATCATACTCTGTTGGAAAGGTCGAAATGTGGAAGTAAACAGAATTGGTTCCTAAGTAGGCTGTAAAAGTCTGCAGGCAACCCATTTGTCTTCCCACTACCCTTCAAGAAGAAAATAAGCCTCCGAATTCAAAAAAACCACTTTAAGCTAAATAAGTGTTGTAGGAGCGTTTTAGTTAAACGCTGGAAAATCTGCGTCTGAAGTTTTAGTTTGTGTAAAGCCAAGCTCCTTGAACTAACAGCATTATATTTGAGTGGAGATTGGGGGTTATTAGATGAAACGGAAAAAAAGGTCAGAAACCCGTCCTCTAAAAACTAGGATCAAGTTAGTCACTGAAGATCTAAAAATCTCACTTGAGGGAAAATTTCTAATACAGTAGAAAATAGTTAACGACCTACTTACGAACAGTAGTTAACTCTCGTACCTTTTAGCCGAAAATACTAATATCGTGCATGAAACGATCCTACTTAACCATAATTGCTTATTCGAGGTAAGGTTGCTTCGATCAAATGCTGGGCAAAATTTGCACAAAGGCTGCAACGGCTCTTGTGCACTAAAGTGAAGAGACGTAGAACAGCTGCGGCAACTTCCCTTTAACACTTGGGAAAAGGCAAATGCAAATTCCAGAAACTAATGGAAGTTTGGAGCAGAATTCCATTTGCTTATGTTGCGATCATCGCTGTGAGTGATGTGCTTCCACCAACCGAATTGGTGTCATCCCGTTTCTGTCAATAAGCCACCACTCCTCTTTTTACTCAAACCCAAACTATAACTATAACAATAAAACCAACACAATATCATGAAAAAAATATCATCAGTACCGTCTGCTCAGGCGGCCAAAGTCAGTAAACGCTCATTATCGAGGAGAAAGCGTATGTTTCTCCAGTGATTAAAAATGAGTAAGAGTTAACTAAGCGACAATATTTTGGTAGTCTGAAAGGATTTTGTGACATCGTCACCGCCACACATCTCAGGTGCACATCAGTGCCAGCAAAGATGAATAGGTTTTGAACAATTCGCCTACGGAGGTGTTAGTTGATATTCTCAAAGTAAGTTATTCACAATCTCAGAACACACCACCTTTATTTGTAGGCTCTCCCAAGTTGTCAGAGCTGGTTAAGGTTTTGAAAAGCCTCGTTACGATGATCTGTAGAATGCAAACTTTCGAAGCATGCATATGCTGTATCGATGACCCTAATTCTACTCTCTTTTCCTAAAATGACGCTTGGGCGTTTTGTGATGTGAACTCGAGAGTCTTACAAATCAAATCTCACTCGAATCAAACGAGTGGGACTGGAGCAATGGGGATGTCCATTCGCGTCTTTCAGCTTAACATAACGCTGTGTTATGGTTTCTTTAAGCGCGTTTAAAGTTTTGTTATTGTAGTTCCACCTGTCGGCATGATACTCAGGCCAACTGTATTTCATTAGTACATATTTCTGGTTCATTAAAATGATTTTTCACGCCAGGAGAGACAAAGTGGATGCTGTATGGGGCACATCAGAGAATCAAGGATCGCATAGTATATGCAGCTAGTTTTCTTACTGACTCGTGATAGGAAATGGGTTCAAAGTTCAAGCATTGATCAAAGGATCATTCATACGTCAGAGGCATACTGCTCCACCCCTATAATCCTGTGTTTAAACTGGGCTCAAAACCATTCAGATGAAAGCGGTTGTTTGATGAACATGAAGCGAGATGTGAGCGAAATCCAGCCAAACACAAAGAAAATGAACAACTCAGGTAACAATGATGGCAGATTAATTTGTGGAGAGAAATGCGGCAATGGAAAACCTTAAGTCACAGAACTCACCCGGGTGAAGATTGGCACTTGGAAGCAGATTGAAGGTACTGCATTACTTCATAACTTGTATTTCCCAGCTAACCCAGCCAACTCCAATTTGCACTGCTAAAATAAATCCTCGCATACTGAATTGAACAAACAGAAAGGTGTGCGACAGGTGCAGCGGTAGCTTGCGTAAATTCGTATAGTTCGTAGACAAAACGAGGAAAATATGTCCCACCAGTTTTGCAAAATAAGTAGGAAAGATAACTTATACTGTCAGTGAGAAAGCCTTCATTCAAAAAAACTTGTGAAGTTTATCTGATTCACCTCATTTACGTGAGTGACAACCTCACTCTAGTGAACTATTATTAACCATGATGACACCCTTTCTACTGGACTATGTTCCTCAGCAAATTTGTCATAACGCTGATTCAAATAAGGGTGGTTAAGGCACCCCACTATTACTACCGATGCGAGAGAATACCTTCACAGATACCAATAGTCGAGTTGGCATGATTGCGATGCCTCAAACACCGTTGAAAAATGCAGCACAATAGAATTTTATTTCCCCTTGCTGCACACTAGCAAAAAGCATAACCACTCACTTCAACTGCAATGAAGCCACTTTAAGTCGGCTGCGTCAGTTTATCAAAGAGCTTGTTAGAGAATTTTAGCCAACGAATTCGACAATATGATATCTCTACAAATAAAAACCAAGAGACTAATAATCTCCACACCGCTAGTGCTGAGTTTTTTCAGCATTAAGAAATGGTATCGTATTCCAAATGCGTGTCAATCGAGGCGCAGACATCAAAACGCAACTAGAAATTGCCGCAGTTGTCCTTTTTGCTCATTCCTCCCGCCAGCCGTTGGCAACGCCTGCAAAACCACCTAACACAGGAAGCCACTTAAGGATAGTTTGACAGAGAACTGGTAGATTTTCATAAATTCTGCAGGCATTTTAGCTATTTGGTGAATATATAGCACCATGCCGATCTGCAGTTGCTGCGTGTACGCAAAGGCATAAACATCGGCCCAAGCAATGTTCTTCCAATCATTTGACTCGCTTCCAACCAATTAAAAATCCAGCTTCTCAAGGTCAACTATTTCCCCAAGACTATTGATCAAGAGGGAGTAAGGTTGATAAAACCCAAATTCTCCACTGACAGTAGCATCCAAGTCACTTCAATGCCTCACAGAACAGCTTAATCGCAAAATGCGCGTTTGCACCGGAGACTACCTAAGTGACTCGGATTCTGGGCACAATACAGTGTGAAAGAAGGCATGTGACATGATTCAAGACAAGTACATCAGCACCACAATGAAATTCACAAATTAAATTAAAATCCAAACATCAAGGACAAGACAAACTAAATCTGTTTGAAGAGCTTGCAACAAATACATAGTAACATTTTCACCTACAACGCTCCGTGACGCCACAAGGTATCTGTTAACAAGATTGTAAGGCAGCACTTCACATGTGATACAACAGCAAGCCATACCAGACCCGGCAGAGCAAAAATATACAATTTCAACGGTTCATCACCACCCCGAAAAGCGGAGAATGCATGTATTTCCAACCTTATGCCTATAAATAGTACGGAAATGGGTAAACCGAGGCTTAACAGAGCGAATATTTTCTACCTCAAAATTAGCCTTGCTCCAACCCAGAGAATAGATGCAAATACCCCATGCCATATGCTAAAAGTAATATGAAGTAAAAAGGTTGGTAACAGGTGGATAAAGCAATGATGCAAACAAAATAAAATAGTCTGACACCAGTGCCTCGTACAGCTCCAATAAATTTGTTAGATTGTGCTTTTGTACAAGAATAAGAACGCAGAGGGAGAGAATTCGACAAAAGGCTATTTACACACCACTGCTGTTCCCACTGTTCGAGTCGACAAGAGCTGCTACCACCGAACCGCTCCTTTTAGACGCCAGAGGCTGTCGAGGTCGAGACGTCTGGAGGCGAAATTTCAGTGGAATGTAGGGGACTGGAAGAGACCCTGCGACAATGCCACCAGTTCCGGTTCCTAACAGAGAGGTAGCCTTGCGAGTGGTACTCAATGGCATGCTGATGATTAGGTCAGTCGGATTCTCTAAAAGGGCACTTCCGTTCGCTGTGGGATGATAGACACCCGGTGACATAGAGAGCCGGATGTGAGCAGGTGGCTGTTGAGTCAGTATACCGGATTTGTGAGTTGCAGACGCCTTTTCAGTGGAAAACCTTGTATAACCCTTACTGCGACTTCGAGGGACGGAAGATGGTGGGGATTGAGCTAACCGGAGGTCACCATTTCGACGAGAGGAAAGTCTGCTGTGACTATGTAACACCTCATTCTCTGTAAAGTAGGCATGATTGATCACCTTCACAGGAACTGACACCGTCTCTGCCGACTTGGGTATGTACACTTGGTAGCGATAGTCGGTGTCTTTGAATCGGTTTGTGTGCGGCATTGCGGCTGGCAAATTGAAAGAGTATTGTGAGTCTTTTCGACCGTTTGGAAAATGGGCATCATTTAACCTTGCTATACGATAGTCAACATCTTCCACGTGCTTCCTTCTTTTTTTCGACTTCTTTGATGCCTGATGATGGGAAGAGTCATGCTTTGATCGTCTTCTGTGTGGTGAACAAGGAATACAAATGGGTTTGTAACCAATCTCTCGTGATTTTTTGCACTTTGGGGATTGGTCTGATGAGGGACTGTAGTCACTCGATACATCTGTTTCATCTGCGACTTCTTCATCGTCGTCCACAATCTCACCCTCCTCTTCTTCATGAGAAGGATCCTGAGATGAAGAGTGTAGAGGACGGGTTTGATTTTCATCTGGGCTAGCGGGACTAAAAAGTCTCACGTGATCGTCTTCTTCCTCCACCTCAATAATGGGATCGGGCAAAAGAGTCTGATTTAGAACATCAACATCAGCAGAAACACTGTCATCAATGTCAGGCGCGTTGTAGCGAGAGGCCTGCGCGATTCCCGTACAAAGAATTGTTTCAGAATGAGAAACACACTGGTTTTGCTGTGCTTTACGCTCCTCATCCCTTTTTCGTCTCCACTCATTATAGTCATTAAAAGCTGCCTGAGATTCCCACACCTCCTTCTTGATTGTAAACAAACTCGTAGAGGTTGGTATGCTGTGTTCCAAAGTCAAAGCTTTACTCGCAATCTCAGATACATGCGAAGATGTAATAGGAAAACCATATAAGAGTGAGTGTGGCGAACATTTGTCAGGCGCGAGTGGAACCTTGAGCGGAATGTTAGTACAACTATGGGAGTCGCGTCCATCGCCTCGTTTGACAAACTTGCTTCTTCCTTTTTCTGGGGACGAAGGAATGTTAGACTCAAAGGAGGTTTCCAATTCCATATCACAGGAGGGTACTGGTGAATTTACTACTATGACCGGGCTGTCGGGTATTTGTACATCTGGAGTTGGAATTATCAAAGCTGGATCCTCATAGGAAGCAGGTTCTTGAGGGCTCAAAGGTGTGAAGGCTTGGGAGAAAATGTGTACATCATCTGGCATCAACAAAGGCGAGGGCTGTGAGTCTTCCTTTGGACTTGAAGCAAGATTCGAGATAGCCTGACGGAGAGCCTTGCCGCCACCTGGTAGTGCATCCACAAATGAGGAAAGACTAAAACTCCACTTATTTTCCAAAGGAGCTGAAAGGCAGAAGATAATCGAGTCTACGGAAGCAAACCAAGCGGAAATGACTAAAGGAAGCATGAAAGATCCTTTAAAACTGTGATCTCATTCAAATATTGAGAAAGGGATTAGCATGTGACATTCATTGCATCGTGTTGGCGCTGCTTCACCGGATACCTGATGAAAATAATGATACAACTGGATATTTTAAACCGGTAAAATGGTGGCAAGAGTACATGATGGGAAATTATTTAAGATAGTACACAATGAACCACACCCCTGTGCCTAATACTTATGACAGCAGAAAATATTAAATTAAAACTACCACTCCTAATTTTGTGACGTTTGCGTAAGATGGTAGCTAAAAATAGAGCACCGTTGCATTGTATCGGGAACCTCTGGTAGCTAATTGGGGGTGGGAAGATGATAGTATTTTTCATGTGGTTAAAATTAAAATTCGGTATTGAATGCACATCAATGTCAGTTTTTTTTTGAACACCAGTAGTGGCGTTGCCAATGTTGGGAATGATTGTGCACTAGAAGTCCAGTATCTATGCGAGAGGGAAAAAATATCGTGATTCTTGATGTTACTATTTCCAATTCAATGATAATTCAAGCATGCATCAACTTATACTCAGGTAGAGATATGGGCGAGCTAACCTAGAGACTGCTGATGAGAGATGACGGTTCTTGAGTGGCTGAATTGGCAAATGCACCTTTCCAGTAGGCTTGAATGAATTGAATGGGGAAGAAGCAGGATACCGTGGAAGGATATAGTGTCTGAGCTGTCCAATGCAGGAATATCTAGTAATAGCAACAGAAAATGATGCTACTGAAAATATTCGATATTTTTCTTAAGATTATTAGACGATTTTATCACGACTGAACGGTAAGCAGTCAGCCATACACTTAGCAGATTAGGTTTGTTTCACGAGAGCGGGTTATTGATATTATGAGGATCAATTATGAAAACTCCAAAAGTAAATGACAACAACCTCTTGGAGAGGAACTACGCGAAAAGCTAACAGAAAAATGCTTTAAAAAGTTTGAGGTCGAATTGTTTGGATGCCGTCTCGCAAGGTGATGAGTTTCGAATAACTTCGTATTGCCAAAGAATTCAGGGTATTTGAAACACCAAATAGTGAGGATTCATTCCACTCGACTAAAGTTGCTTAGTTGCGAAACCGTTTCTTCTGGAACAATCTAAGATGCGTTGCAGCGGCCGCAACACCAAAACGCCACATACAGAAGCACTTAAATGAGCTATTTTTCTAGATGGAGTAAGTCTAATGCATTGCAATGCACTGTTTAAAATTGCAATGCAAAAAGTTAAGATCGACTATCGAATAACCACTTCACTCACCACTTAGCGACCATGAAAGTGCTATTATAATCTCATAAGTAGCAAATCCATGCAATGTTTACAACGCTTACTAAGTGATTTTGAGAAGTCCGAGTCAGGGAATATACAGAAGGCTGCGTTTTCACTACAAGGCATTTTGATGAAACAGGCCTAAAAGAAGACAAATTCACCGACTACTCGAAATGGGTACAAAATATGCAAACACAAAGCGGCACACTTGATGATGCGCCTCGGATCACTATCAAACCCTAATGATATGCAAAAAATCATTCCTTCTGGTGTTGCTGCCTAAAGCTGATACAGTATCGACTCTCTATTTCACACCATAATAAAACTACCGTAACGCGATATAAAGATCAACTAATAAATACCACCTACCACTTGCTTGCTTTTCAATGTGTCATAGAGTTTGGCCACTTCAGCCCGCTGTGTGGAGGACTCCAGGAGACTAAGAAGGTAATAATTGCCCCTGTAACCCGCAAAGCGACTCAGTTTAGCTGAGGCATCGTTTTCAACGTTTTCTTTGCTGGGAACAATCCACTCGCGAAGTCTATCAATGGAAACAAAAGGGAGGCACGAGGAGAGACCCGACCGGCCTCTCAAGCGCCGAGGATCAAGACTAAAGGTCTCCAAAGCCGAGGCCTGCTCAGAAATATCCGATAACGAGAGATCTGACGGGGGTCCAGACGGCTCTTGAACACCCGCTAGTTCATGATGAAGTCGGGAAAAGGAGACCAGATCCGAAATAATGAGCCGTGGTTGCAGCCTACAGGTTGAGAATAAAAAAACAAGTACAAATCGTGAGAAAAAGTTCGACCATTAATCAACAATTACGAGAACACTAAATGAACCCCAGGTAACACTGCTACTGTCTACCATTCCTGATTGGAAAGTTACAAAAAATCATGGACATAAAAAGAAACCGGACAATCGAATTTTTAGTTTTCAATATGGCTCAGGGTGAATGTAAAATAACGCTTGATGGCGAACTGACTGTATGATTAAGGACATTAACTAACGATAGTATATTTTCTAAATCACAAGCTTGCTACTCATAAACTAAGCAAAGAACACCTAATCGGTCGAATATGCGCATGGATGATTTTCAGCAGACCAATCGCTGTTAAAATGAATGGATTAGCTAGACGGCCAGATCATTGCAATGGAACCTACAAATAGTCATTTGATAAACTAAGTCTGAAGCTCTCTTCGAGCAGCAATTCACGTAATCGTACTTACAGACCCTCATAGATGTGCAATGTGGGATTGCGATGGGACATAATCTTCACAGGAAACTGCCATGTCTCAACTTTTACACTTTCATCATTCATACTTTCAGGGCGCTCAGACACTGGCCAGACCAGAAAGCAGGTATTGATAACATAGTGTGGCAAGTCGTCGTTACTAGCTGCATCAGACTGCATATATGTCCTATCCAGAGCTTCTTGCAGTTTGCGACCAGAAGCAGCCACTGGATCAGAGTGGTGATGAGAATGCGAAATGAGATTTGTTTCTGGGGCTGGGACATTTAAGAGAGTAGAAGACGGAGAAGGGACAACAGAAGACGCGTTCGAGGCATTCAACACCAACTGTTGGCGATCTGACGTGGAGACAACTGACTTAGATGCGCTGACATCATTTTTCTTCTCTGCTGCTGCTGAGACAATCGGTGAAGCAAACAAAGCAGCTATGTGCTTCCCTTTTGTCCATATCTGTGTGGGGAAAAACATTGGAACCTAATTATGATCAAACGTGGCAGAAGTCAGTACCCCAGTTTCGGTGCATAGTACTAACACCAACAGAGAAAATAAGACCTAACGAGATTGACTTTCGAGACCCAACAACCAAATGGCATGCAATGTGATTGACCTTCGAGTGCATTACTGGTACTATGAGAATATGCCAATGTCGAGTTCACTCTCGTGTGCACCAAAATTCTATTGAAGTATCGAATGGTGCGAAATGGCAAGGGTGCCTTACTTTTGGATCTGATTTTGGAGTTCGTTTCTCCACAAGGATTTTCAAAGCTGATGGTGGTGTGTTCAAAAGAGCCTTCCGAGGGACTGTGGTTTCCTTCTGCTTCCGTGGCAAAAGAATAGCTCCATCGTTGATAAAACGAAACAAGAGAAATTTTTCCGGCAACAAATTCCACTGACATTTGACCACAGCGAAAGGGAGAATATGCTCAAGAGTAGTTTTCAGATCCATCTCCTCGTCGTATTCATAAAGATAGACCTGAAGAGAGGTAAATATATCCTACGGACATTGATAATTTAAACATAAGAGAACATAGTTTTCATCGACACACTTGACTGTTGTGAAAGACTTCAGTAAGTGTGACCTTCGAAGGATCAAGAGGATCCATTCGACTCCACTTTGTCATATGGCATGTGTAACCAGGTTGAGGATCCAACCTAAAATCCGCGGTGGCGGTTGGACACGATTCCGGAGGTAAAACTTGAGTAACATAAACTTTGCTTTTTAACCAGCGTACAAGAATAACAAAGTACGTGGAACCTGTCGTAAAATCAGTCTTCAAATCAGGTTCATTTGCCAAATCCGGATGATATGATTCGGCTTCCTTGGAGCCATTGTCTGCCAAGTAAGCAAGGCCAATATCAGCGCATTGGCTAATCACGACACCTACAATGATAAAAACAGATTGAAGTATCAAATCTGTCCATTTTCACAAAATAATAGTGATCAATCGGGAGGTTGGTGTAAACAAGTTTATTTCAGTAGCAAAATAATGCCGAAAGCGACGCGAACAAGGAGCCCATAGGAACTAGAATACTGTAAAGGAACCGGGACGAACGCAGGAGACAGGAGCCACGCGACTAGGAGACGCGCCCTTAAATCACAAATGAACGCCGATACGTCATATCAAAACGCGGCAGCCGCATGGCGTGGGCGTACCATGACCCACTGGTAAAGTATTTTTGAACAGAGACTGCATGTAAAATGAGGCTACGACATCGCAAGTAAACTCTACTTAGCCAAGGCTAAGCGTTTTTATGACAATCCAAATCTGGAGAGCAGAAAAATTACTACATATGAGCGGTGTCAGGTATAGTCTAACAACACGAGTGTTCCAACGATTCAAAAGTGCGCATTTACCAAAGTCATCGAACATTTTGACACAGCTATAAGTGAAAAGTGCGATGGTCAAATACGCCTACTGGGTCACTTTTTGATGCTATTGTTAAAATTGACTTGGTGAGTGCATGCAAGCAATAATAGCTGACGCACCCAAGCTTACATACGGTACAGATGTGGAGATTCATATTGACTATTTGAGGAGTTAATAAAGTGAACGCAGGTATGAACACATATTGGTCATAACAAAATGACAGTGCACTTTACAAATAGAACCAGAATACACCTTAAACAAAACCCATGCAATGCTGAGCAATAGCTCTAGGTGAAAACCTTGATTTAAGGAAAGAGACTACCGACCACTCCGCTCTCAACATTATAAATAAGTGCGTCTAAAGAGCACCGAACTTAACTGTTGTACCGATTATCGAGACGAGAACCCATGACCATGCAAGTCTTTGTCGCTAGCTTACCCTTTTCTGGTTTTCCCAGCCATGTATCTTGAAGATTTCCCGTTTTCAGTCCATTACACGCAATGGACTCCACGACGCTCCAATTCCTGGTGAACAGAAATCCGCATTGTGTGGTGACACTAATATTCTTGTTCTGACCAAGGCCTTCACCGTGCTGAAGACGCTTCCTTGCCTTCCCAAACGCCTCTTCAAGACTACGATTGTGAATAAGCCACGCACCGTCAGTTTTGACAGCCTCATTTGCAAATTTACGAAACCGGTAATTATTCTGCAGATGTGCGTCGATTTCTTCCATGAAATCATCGGAGCTGACACTTATCAGTTCCAAAGTGGCTACGAAAATTTTAAAACATCACAAATCAGGATAAGAAACCATTTACTTTAGAAAAAATTATCAACAACAAGGGTCGTTTTGCACTTACATTCATTAATTGCCTTTTTAGGGACCTTCAATGAATTTATGCCCTTTTTAAGAACGGTTCCAGTGCCCTTAGGCGCCATCGCAGCTGACATTTCAACAAGCATGAGTACCTAACACAACTCCCCGATGTGTTAAATACCAAAACGTCCGCCACAAATGGCAGTTGTTAACCTCCTATTAACCAGTAGCAACTGCTTTGGTATAAATATTATACTTATTATATTTCTGCTAACTATTAGCACAAGCCAGCATACAAATGCTTGCTTTATTTGTATGCACTTTCAAAACCCCATATTAAGATTTTAGCCAAAAGTATGGAAACTTTAGCTTTGTTAGCACATTGTGAGTAACAAGGATTCGGCTGATACTTTTAACAATGGCTGATCTCACATGCAATCGTATTAAAAATATTGCCGCGCTTAGTTGGATTGTCGTACTGTTGGGACTTACTTCATACCTACACTTTTCCAACCGTCTTGGGTCGTTTAATCACGTTGAAAAGCACAACCTGTTTCAATAATGTAGACAAGGATATTGCTGCTAACATATGATTTTGTTGAGTGGTTTCTTGGTTCGTAATACTACACAGTATCTCCCTACCGGGTCTCTGTTTTCGTAATTGTAGGATTGCAGTAACAAGGCATATTTGACAACGCTTCAAGGTAGGGAGTGGTGGGAAAATTGAGTTTGGTAAGCATGGTATCCACCATACTCTCAAGACCGATTAGCACGCTCTTGCAGCACGGGATATTTTGCGAATTCCTCCTCTTCCTCCAAAGCACGATTTAAGCAAACAATATGCATCAAAACTGCCACTGTTCGCTGTCCTCACCAAGTGCTACCTCTGGCACAATCATGTTAATTTTTCTCCGCAGCCTTTTGTACCTCATATAGAAGGAATCGATACAACTTTACTATGGTTTGGAAGAGTGGCTTTCATCTAATTTGAGGCGTCGACACCCACAAAGTGTAGGATTGTAGATTCGCTTCCGTCTCTCGCCTACTAATCACTTTCAATATAGCTTGAGTTTTCACCGTCACACATCAAATATTAAAACAAGGTGGACACATTTCACGTCAAATGAACCGCTACTTACTGGCCCACTCGTATTTAGAACTCATTTATGGCCGGCCCTAGCGCCGTATTTGCCTCCTTAAACAAAATCTGATGTTGATTCATACTTAACCGAAAAAGATAGTCCAATTTACGTTACCATGGTTGATGATTTTGGTCACACTATTTTACCGCCGAATTCACTCCATAATTGGCCATTTATCGTGATATCCTTTTAAATGATTTAATAGGACATGAGTAAATTTGTGCAATGTAGTGGCATAATCCAAGTAGGTTTCATGAACGTAAACTTGTTTGACTTAATTTGTTTAAGTATAGCAGCGTTCCAGAACTTCTTTGCTGATAAAAGTATACGAGGTACATTGGATCAATACATGAATTCATCCAAAAGGGTTGGGGATATCGGAGTTTAGCCCTGCCGACATTAGCACTATGTCTACGCAAATGGGCGCAATCAGTACCAACTGTCAAGCAAACAAAGCGCTGCAAGCATTGTTATACATTTTTGTTCCAGTAATATGTTTCAGTCCGCCTAAGCCTGAAGTAGAATCTCTTTATCACTTGAGTGGTGGCTTAGGTGCAAATGAGCTTAAATACGCCATAAATATATGAAGCGACTCTTTTATAAAAATCCATCGCCATTTAATGAGCTGTCAATTAGGAGTAAAACCACCGCTGATTTAAAACTGTTACCACTAAAGCAATGTAAAATGCTAGACATATGGGGTATAGATTACCCTAAGTAATAAAAAATAGTGTCCAAAATACTCCAAACTTTGCCTCTCTAAACCCAATAGCCGAATCCTATATTACTGTACTCACGCAGGCGTGCAACCCCGCTAGGCTGCTAGTCCCTCATCACGAACCAATCAAAATTCACCTTGCATTTTCCACTGCGCGCATTCGCCCTCTTCGGGCAGTAATCGATGCTCCGTCTACTGACTGTTTACTTTCCCGTTCTATACCTCCTCTGTCTTCTCCCACAGAGCCTTCATTACGATCTGATCATCCTCCTCTTCTAATTGTCAGAAAATGTAAGTCACCTCACCGTTTTCACTACGCCTTATGAAAAAATAAACCGAAGTCTGAACCTTGACCGACCTCAAGTCTTAATGTCCAACCCCCTTAGTTCAAAAAACTTTTCTTTCTACAGCAACACTGGCATAACGCCAATCTTCCTGTTTTCTACCACTATTTAGCATGCTACTATTAATGCACCAAGGCATAAAGTACTTCTCAGAAATGAACTTTGAGGATTGAGGAGTGTATTTAGACAGCGAAAGGTCTGAGTCGTCGTGACTCATTTCTACCGAGATTCTACTTTTCCTTTAATCACTCTGGCTTAATCCAACATTCTTATAGGCAAGGAAACAATTTCGCACCGCATTTATTGCTAAATACATATTTTTCACTATTCTATTAACCACACCAATAAACAAAGAAATTTGCCCCCTTAGTACTGCTAAAACGGTAATCCAGGACATGTCTTTTTTTTTTGCCGCAAAGAAAATGGACGCAGCTAACATTCCACCCCTGACCGAGGAGGTGCCAACAGAGGCCTACTCTGGTGGCATCCGAGCCTTAAAACGCGAGTTACTGGAGTGGTTTCATTCGCCCATAAATCGCTCCCTCCTCATATTTAAACTCTTCTACTTCCTCTTCTACGCCGCTTTTGGATCTCTTTTTCCCCTTATTTCCATTTATTTTAAACAACTCGGCTTGAATGCAACGCAATGCGGTTCTCTAGGGGGTGCTCGATCCCTTGTTGAATGGGCGGGTGCATCCTTCTGGAGCGGCGTTGCTGACCGATGGAAGAAAGGCAAACTTTTTCTCATGATCAGTCTCCTCTGTTGGATCGTATTCACTCTCGGTTTGGGCTTTGTTCGACCTCAACCAGAGGGCTGTCTCGTGTCTGTTAGCGGTACATATCCAAAGAACAGCTCCATCCATCCTTTGGATATCCGAATAATGGAGCCATATAGGGAAGTCACTAGTGAACGCATTGAGGCCATTGAAATGAAGCCCTACTTGGCTGCCTACGGAAACACTCGAATTGGACAATCGCCACTGGAACTCAACTTAAAGACACTTCTTAATAAAGAGTCCCCAGAGGGTTCACTTGAGTCGATGAGCATCGACAAAAGTGGGATTCATGCGAGAGTAACAGATGAGGAAGCTTTTGCTGACATAAGTCATTACTCCGAAGGGAGTCTGGTAATGCCTCTTTTCTCAACGGTAGTGTACCGCAGAAGCAAAATTAACCAGATTTTCATTATTGCAATAATTCTTATCTGTGTTGGGGCCTTCTTCTCCAGTCCAGCCATTTGTCTCGCTGATTCGGCAGTAATGACCTACCTAGAAGAGAAGGGACCTCACCTTTATGGTCGACAACGCATGTTTGGTTCGGTGGGTTGGGGGTTGGCTATGTTTTTTGTCGGTATCGCTCTAGACCAATCACAGAGTTTTCCAGACCACCCTTGTCTTCGACCCGGGCGTCGAGAGAAGAACTACATGGTCAGCTTTGCAGTTTTTACTGTCTTCATGTCTTGTGCCGCAATTGCTGGAAGCCAATTATGCTTCGCTTATGACGGGGCGGCGGAAAGTATGTATTTTAAAGTAATGAAAGACAAAGTGGCGAAGACCCTCCGACGTGGAAGAATTGGGAAAAACCGAGGAAAATTGGTGAACCAGGATGATGAGGATGAGGAAGAATGGAAGGCTGATGGAGGATATTCTCAGATGCAGTCAGGGAGTGAATACACAACCGGAGAAGGCCTTGCTTCCAATGAGACCATCCTTGAGCAGCAATTAGGAATTAAGCTTAACCACAATAAAGTGGAGCGATCGGACACGCTTGCCGGTTTGCCTACTTCTGACCCCTTCGTGGAGGACTTGGCCGCTACAGCTCAAACGAAGGTGAAATTTCACCCTTTCTATAACGCATTCTAGCAAACTTGCCTTTCACTACCACGTAATTTATCCATTTCGTGTAATCAATTGCGACTAAGGCTGGTGGAGTACTTTAAAAATGTGCAAGCAAATTAGGACTTGTGATCCAAGGGTTAGAAGATTGAGCAGTGTAGATTCGAAAGTTCATCGAATACTTCCGTTGCAAGATTATCGGAGAGAAAGGTATTGCGCCTTCAAGCCTACACTTGCATAACGGTCACCGCTTTAAATAAGGTGAACTTCTCATAAAATCCTCAAGTGCTTCTAAATAAATCTACGTTTTTACACTCATCATCTCTTCAATTCAAAACAATTGCTCATGAATGCATATTCAGTAGGATTAACATTCCTATGTTCTCTGCCGTAGGTAATAAAGGGGTAGTTCTGCTTCACCTGACTTACAGGGCATGAAACTTTGGGAGGATTGCCAGAAGGTTTAGATCTTAGGCTATAGAACTAAAGGAAACAAATTTTTCAGTTAAATTTCGGAGCTAAAGTCAATATACTGCCTTCAATCGTATCTCCCGCTCAAGCACAAAAAGTATGAAAGATGAAAAAGAACTAGTTACTCCTAGACTTGTAGCAATGACTCATTTATTGAGGAATGCGATTGCCGAATAAAAATTATCCGCTTTTACAAATGATCTATCATTCTTCCTGAGAGCAAAGTGATTACTTCCACCGAAAGACTCCTTCTATGGAGATGCTTTGCCTTGCTTCGCGCATTCACATTTAGCATTTGCTAACTGAACTCTCAGTAGACAAATCTCAGCTTCCAGCGCTGAGTTCTTCCTTTCCAATTGGGCAGCATACTCCACTAAATCCGCCTCTCTAGCTCGGCGACATTGGCGTGAGCGTCTGGCAGCGGCATTGTTCCTGCATCTCCGTTCCCAGTATTTGACGTCTTTTGCCTCATTTGGTGTCATCTCGGGATGTCGACGCATTCTTGGATTGATATAGTTGTTGTCAGCAGCAAAGTTTGTTTTCGCTTTAAGTTCGGTCCCTTGTGAAGATAGGTAACTCTTCGAGAGATCAAGTGGACTCTCCTGGGTTTTAAACAACGTATAAGAGTACTCAGATTTACAAATATCTCCTTAATTAGCAAATCAAGATGTAGTCTGGAGACTACAGATTTCGCGAATCAATTGACTGCTAAAGTGTGAAAACATCTACTTTACAACCTTATTCCATGCCTTCGAGAAAATAACCCACCAGTTCGGATGATCTATCCTGACAGAGAGCATCATCATTGGTAGAGGTTGGATGGCACATTTTCCTCTGAACCCGCAGATAACGTGCGACCTCTCGAGGTTGACAAGTCGTAGTGACCATGGCGGCCCTACGATTATGCCTTTTGTAGGTTCACTGGGTCATTGCATTGGTAGGCCCCCTGGGGCTCCACCAAAATGCTGAAAGGGGAGAGGAAGGCGGCATAGTTTCCAGCATGGCCACAAATTTCGCCTGAAGGGGCAACATCTGAGAGTGGCAATCCGCTCGCGCTGTGGGGCGCCCTGCAGCCTCATAAAGTAAATACAAAATAGTGTTACAATCAAGGTCCATCTCGATAACGATGCTGCCACTGTAGCCACTATCGGTCCTCAAGTCAACTACCCTTATCAGTAATGATACTAACTGCCTTACCAACCAAACCCCAGGACAAATACTTCCAAACCGGATTAGATTTTGAAAAAAATCTAGGCAACTACTTATAGCCAGAGCCTTGAAAATCAAATCTCTAATGCCATTGTCTCTCTCAAACATGATCCCGACAAAACCAAGAAGAAAATTGAGTTTGGCTTGACTTGACTTTATTTTTGGCGTTTCTATAAAACTTTCACAATTATTCTTATCTGCTTACAATCCATTTTCTCACTGCATTGTCTAAAGTGGTAAGATTTAGGTGTGGAATTATCGGCATGTATCACACCTCTGCCTCAGATCACTCAGTACTTGACCGTTCTGAAGCAGTTCGTCCGACCCAAGCTGGCGTTCTTCCTCTTCGTTACCTGGTTTATGGGTATCGGTTCGGGAATTGTGTTTAGCTTTCTCTTTTGGCATCTGCAAGAACTTGGAGGTTCTCCAACACTCTATGGCATCGCATCCATCATAAATTACCTCTCCGAGATTATCACCTACTACTTCAGCAAACCAGCAATTGCAAGATTCGGTAAGCTTGTGGTCTTTAAGTCATCTTGAACCACCCTGGAGTTTGAATGTCACCAAAGGAGTTAGACTGGAACCAAAATTATGGTCTGACACCGTCTTTTTCTTTTCCTTAATTTAAGGGCACATTAAAATCCTTTATCTCGGACTTCTCGTAAACGTTCTGCGTTTCCTCTACGTCTCTTGGATTGGTAATCCTTGGTGGGTATTACCTTTCGAATTCGTCCACGGTGCGTTCTGCCTACTTTAACCAAAAATTTACTACCTACCAATGTGCAAATTAAATGACTTAGAACAGGAAGTTTTCTAACTATTGAATTGCAGAATCCGGATGCGATCAATAAGGAGATGACTTCGCAAATTTTTTTATACCCCTACTATGATCGCTCTACAACATGCTTTACAACAATGCATAATGAGAGCAGGATATGATCAGGGTTTGTTGCCACAAAGATTAAAAAACAGCTAGCAGGCTATCAAGATCTAAAAGTGACCAGATAATAAGGGTAACGAAGGCGAACACAACTTTATAGGAATTCGAAAACCACTTCACAGCATCAAAAATTGGTTTAAGATTGGTAACGTGTTCAAACGTTTACGTAAGATGATAAAGCGAAATTGTCTACTAATTCTTAACTAGTAGCATTCAAACAAACTACCTCAATGAGGTCTCAAAATGATACTTCCGAAGGCAACAAGACCTGGACCTTTACTTAAAGTTTAGCAATAAGTAAGTGCTTTTTAATGAGTCACCTACTTATTTGGCAGGTCTAACGAACGCAGGTGTGTGGGCTGCCAGTTGTTCCTACATAGCCCAGAGCTTTGAGTCTCAATATCGGATCTCAACGCAGGGCGTACTCCAAGGCGTGAACCACGGATTTGGGAAGGGTCTTGGGGCCATTATTGGTGGTGTCATCACCACATATTTTGGTATGACATAGTTTAATACTTTTAAATAAGAATAAGAGATCAAGGTGGAAGCGTGCCTAAATGCATCGTTTGGAGGTCATCCATGATTAGCTGGTGGACGCTCTCTGAAGTGGTAGCCAGCACCACTGTCGAAATTACCCTTGAGAAACTTGAAACGGAAGTCGACTAGCATGACTTGATTTCACTCGAAATGTTTAGCTATGTACAGGTTTCGCTGACATTTAGAGCAAGGCAAATGAGGTCCATGTAAATTAAGCAGTAAAGAATCAACAATGCTGCTGAACTCATCTGCATATAAAACTGTCAGGTGCCCTCAAACAAAAGCAAAAGCCAGAACTTTTACTTTACTAGAGTTGGTGCTATACCAATAAGAGAACAAACCGACAATCCGAATTTGTTTAGGAACCGCCAATTTGTTCCGTGCCTATGGGGCCACATCTGCCATTATTCTGATTGGCTTCCTTTTGATAAACTATCTGGTCAAAGAGAAGGCGGCAGCGACATCAATGGAAGAGAAGGCGACAGAACATAAAAAAATGCCAACTCTGACTGCAGGCAGGACCTTTGATGAGTCGACTTTCATGTCACCTGCAGGAACGCCTTTTGTACCCGCCTCAAGAATTCCGGCTGCGGTGGATGTGACTAGAGGTGACTCCAACATTGCGTATAATGGGAGGATTAGAGGCAAGTTGCACAGAACAATACAATCCTTCATTGATGAACATACCGGAACTATGCCCATCAGTCCCATGGCCCAGATAAGAAGATAGAGAAAGTCTTTTCGATTATTTTAAATAACCATAGGGTATTTAAATGGCATTTCCATTGGCGACTAGATCTTGTAGTAGTCATAAATTAGAACCGCTGAGTCGATGAAAACCTGAGTGACTTGGACGATTTGTGCCAGTGTACATGAATACCATGATTTAGGTTTCGTTCTATCCAATGTCTACTTATGACTTATAGATGACGGAATGGAGAGCCTTTACCCATCAAAACAAAGCCAATAGGAAAATCTCCCGCACTGGCAACAAATCCTGATGTTTTAGAAGCCAAACGCCAACATCTTCTGCTCGTATCTACTTAGGTTATATAAAGTGAAACATACAATACGTGTTGTCCCCACCGACCACTGAGACAGATGTGATTTGAAATAATGTCTTCAATGTGTCCTCCCAGAAAATACATGAACTTTGCCGTGTTCGCTTGAAGCAGATTGTTCCGTAAAATGTGGTCCGAAATTCAGCAGTGCGTGAAAAAACAGGATTGAAATAAAGCTGTTTAATTCTTTAAATGAAAAACAGACAATTATCCACCTCACTTATAATCGCTTAATTAACTTCAAAATAGAAAACACTACGGGCCCTGAACTCAAATTCATTTAAATCCATGAGAAAGCACAAAAAGGTACCATGCTCCTGTGAAAAGATTCAAAATGGGCTTAAATAATGCTGAGTCAAAACGGAATTTGAACAATGTTACAAAGTTTTGCGCATAGGTATGACAAAAAACACGTTTTGCACTATGGCCGCACCGCATCCCACAAAGTGAGTAGGAAAACTTTTAAGGCGAAACCACACCAATACCTTCGGAGGTTCGGGAACATACGATTTGGAGTGGTGTTGTCAGTTAAATGTACGGTATGTCTGCAACCGATGGAAATGTATGCAAAAAGAAGCGTCACGACGCCCCAAGCGCAGGTGCACAGGTAGAGCAAATCACTTAAATCACTGCGTCGATGAGCAAATGCATGTAGAATAAATAAACAATAATTAAATATATAAGTTTTAAAGCTATTAAGCTACTTAACTATAGTGACGCAAGCAATTAATCTATATTGAGCAAATTTGAAAATCACACGTACATTTCTTTTTAGGTCTATGCGTAAAACACAGCTTTAACAAAGTGTACATATGAAACTGTTTCATATAATTTTTCTGATTTACTATCTGTGGTTCTCGATAACTGATTTTGTTACATTAATTGTTGTCGTTGTTTAGTTCGGCCTGGAAGGATCTTAGCCTTTCGAAGTTGTCCTGTTTTGTTATGTGCGCAAGGTGATGCTGGAGACAGTTTTAGTGGTCTATTTGGCTATTATTCCCGCATTTGTCGTGACTTGTGTTATTTTAATTTTTCTTGACGTTCACATCCTTCCTCAAATATATATTGGCATCTTGGATCCCATTATGTCGGTAAGGCTTGTACTTAGTTAATTCATTTTGTAGTATACTGCCCGGCAAATGGGGAAAAGGTCTATGTCAGCTGCAAGCTTAGATAAAGAATCTGTGGAAGTGGACAATGGTGCATCTGCTAATGACTACGTTGACGGGAACCTCATAGAGAGGGATGTCACGCTATGCGAGGGTCGCATACAAATGAGTGAAGATTTTATCGTTGAGCAAAATGGTTTTAAGCTTCATCATCCGATATATCTTCTCAAATCAGGCGTTGAAGTACGTCTGTTTTAACTAACTATTACCTAGGCTATAATCGAAGATGATGTGACGAAACGGTTTTCGTCTGCCGAACTTCGTGTCTGGAATCTGCTTGGCCGCAACCAGAACTACTACTTTCACAAGTATATTTATTTGGATTAATCGCGAAGTCTGTAGCACATCTTGCAAGAAAACTCTTACTGCTCTTTGGTTTCTGGGGTTTATTATCCGCTATGTGTTTCTCTTTCCAAATCGGTATTTTCTGTTGCTTAATTTACTTTTTAGTCTTGCGGTCTGCTTTTTTGGGGTTGGACTAACGTGGATCTGTGGTGTAACTAAGAATATCTTTCCAAATAGTGCCTTGGGAAAGTGGCTTACTGGGCCGGGTCATCAGCGCTGTATGCGTCTTAATCTTTGTCCCTATGCTGCCGTCATTCGTTTTCACAATCCGTAAGGGTAGTCTGTGGTGTAATGAACATGCGTTGCATTTTACTCAAATTATTCTCCAAATTACAGAGAAAATCGACCCAAACCAAATACGATTTGTGTCGCAAATCACACAACCCCCGTCGATTTTGCAGTTTTGGCCAGTGATAATACGTATGCTGTGGTGAGCGGTCTAAAGTATTGTATTTTGAAGTCGTTAGTTAAGTTCTGGCTAGCAAAAGTTGGACTTTAAGCCTACTGCGCGAATGTCTACTTGTTTCCTCTTAATGCCCTGCACTAAGGAGTTAAATTGTTTGCGTTTTGATGCGTGTTAAAACCATTTCTCATTGATAAAAGCTCTAAACTGCTTCTTTGAAATGGTATTCCTTTCTCTGTGATTGACTAATCATTCGATTATTTTCACGCTTCTCTATGATGACACACGAATGGGGCGAGAAGGGGACACCGTACGGTGAGGATAAGTGGCATTACCTTGCTATCGTTTTGAGGAATGATTTGCACTTTTTTTCATTCGTGGTTTGATCTAGCCTTGGTTGGGAGTCTTGTCCATGAATCTCGTTCATTTCGCTTGCTTTGGGTTACTTCAAACTTCTTTTAAGCTTGGTGTAGTGACGGCGTCTGGTAACCGAGTCAATTCGGTGATAATTTACTTAGAACTTCAAATATTTCTAGCGTGATCTTTTCGTGCCATTGGAGTTAATTTTGCTGTCTTGAGATCGCGAACTATTCGGTGCAATTTTTACAAAAATTTTCTCTAATTTGACTACTTGATGAAATCCTCCTACAGACCTGCTTTCCGTCCTAGCCTTTTTTCTATTTTTGCGAAAAGCTCTGTTTTTAAAATTAGACTTGGTATGTGGTCTAATTCCGTTCATTCAAGTAAGTGCCTTGTGTTTATGAGACATTCTGGATTTAAAACCCAATGCTCCCGTATTGGTAGTTCATTGCACGCACCGAAATCTTGGCGATTATTAGTTTTTTTAAAAGCGTAAAAGGTAGGCATGCTGTACTGTTCTCACTGCTCTTATTTCCTGCCCTTGGTTCCACAAACCTTTTTAGGACCCCTTTAATTTCTTCGTCAAGGCGATGGGCGGACTGTATTGGTTTCATCATTCTGATCATGGGGGCTTGCTTATATAGTGCGGTTTTCCTGCCACTACTCTATTCTGTTTGCGAACTATCATTTGTATTTATCTACTCTATTTCAACACCAAAAAAGTGCAATGTCAATTGATTTGTTATTTTGAAGCTATAAAGTTAGTTATTTCTCTCGAACTTCATAACAGACAATTTTTTTTCAACTGCCATTTCTTGCGTTCCCTATCTTTTCTTGTGTGCTGTTACGGGATTTCTTTAAGGGCTACCTAGTTCAATGGATTTTTTTGCCAAGGGAAGCGTTAATTCATTTGAGACATGGAAGTTGTCATCGTGTTTATGTATCCAAATGCTGGTTTCGATCTGAACATCCACTGCTTCTTAACAGTGTCATTATCAAGATTTAGGTTTTTCATAATTTTAGTCCCATCTATTGAACAGTTATTTTTTCATTGATTCTAAATATGAAAGACATTTTCAGCACCATTGTGCAATTCTTATATTTTGTTGATACTTGCGAGTGTTGAGCTTTCCAAAATCTTCTGCGCATTTATTGTCAAGTCTGTAACTGACCTCGTCATCAGAAAATGGATTTGCAGTGTATTGAAACTACTATGCACTTCGTCAAATTTTTTGGCTCCCACTGACATTATCGGGTCCTTTTGTACACTCAGATTGGTCAGCGGCAGGGTGGATTCTTTGGACTGGTGGAAAACATCCTCTCTAGTTCGGTGCCCACCATCTGGTTCGACCGAGGCGAGGTCTTCGATCGTAGTGCTGTTACGAACCGCATGAGAGAGCATGTTGCGACGCCTGGGGCTCTGCCTATCCTTATCTTTCCTGAAGGTACTTGTATCAACAACACCTCCGTAATGAAGTTCAAGAAGGGTTGCTTTGAGGTCGGTGCTGTCATACACCCCGTGGCTATTAAGGTTCGTTATAAGCTTCTGCGCACAGGAATTCTGGGGGCTTTGTTTATGTAATAATTACCGTTTATGGCGTCGAGATGAAAGTCAACTTGCAACCTTTTGGTCACAGGTGCTTACAAAGCGGTGTATGGAGATCGAACGATTCCATCCTTTTAGTATTGTTTCGATATTTATTCAAGAACACATTGGCTGTCAGAATGGATTTCTTTGCCTCTGTAGTGGGAGAATCTGCTCGCGTGTTTTGAACAACGAGTTATTTTTGATCCAATGTTAATATAGCTGAGTTAGTGCATAAAAATTTGCAGACGTGTGACGAAACATGCTATTATAAGCATCATAAATTAGGTAAATCAAAGGAGTTACTGGAGTCAAATTTGAGTGTTTTGTATCTCGCTTTTAGCATGGATTTGTTTTAATGACCAAGCTTTTTCGGTGCATTTCGATTATGGAACTACCCTCCATTTTGGTAGATGTTGCTCATCAGAGCGGGCATGCTATTCAGTCATCTTGGGCTGAATATGTAAACTTCATTCGGTTCACTTTGTCCATGCCACGATCACCATCTCTGAGTCGGTAGTAAAAGTAACGACAAAAGTGCGTTCGGATAATCCTAACCATATTCTAGCTTGCAAAACTGATGACGACAATTTAACATTTGTTTTGTTGGTTTCGGTGTCTATCGGCTACCTGTGTACATTTCTCTGTGATGCCCGCTGTCTTCGACAGGATTGCTCCTCATTTTTTAGTCACTTTGTATCCATGGCTTGTTGCGCATCTCTAATTCCACTCATCAATTGCCTTAGCCATTTGTTTTGCAACTGACCACCCAGAAGTCGTAGATCTCTGATTTGGTACACTACGTTTTTCATCGTGTGTAAATGGCGAGAGGAATTTTCTTAACCATGAGTAAACGTTATTTAAAACACCTAAAGGTCCTTAGGTGATATGTATCAGTTCAATGCAGTCACGGATCGGGTTGGTGGTTGTTTATCTAGTCCTAACGTCAACAAAACTAAGCTCTCCTTTCAGGTTAGTTGTTTAGGATGCAAGTTGTTTGTATGGTGATGGTAGTAAACAGATTGAAGAAAACTGACGTCAAACTTGAAACGTAGCCAATACATCGGCCGCGTCCTATGGTAACCTTCTGTACAAGCTGATACTGTTAGTTGACTGTCTCTGGAGGTCCGGAATGATCTGCTGTTTCTATAAGTTTCCGGACTGTTCTACGCGTTTTTATGCTTGTCTTCTGCATTCTGCATTCTGCCCTTGCCAGTACGACCCTAAGTACGCAGACTGTTTCTGGAATAGCAGTCAGGACGGCCTCTTCAAATACCTAGTCAAACTCATGACTTCCTGGGCCATTGTGGTAGATGTGTGGTACCTTCCACCAGAAACTGCCCGACCGGGAGAGGATGGAATCAGCTTCTCAAGTCGCGTCAAACGGAAGATTGCTGAATGCGGTGGTCTAGTGGATATGGAATGGTTAGTGCTAATTTTTTTTCGTTACTAAGTTAGTGATGGTATATATAACTTACTGGGTAATTTTTTTGCCTGGTTGAGTAAACATAACCCCAGTATTAGGGTCGACTCCTCCAATGGGTGGGAAAGTAGTAGAGGCATTGTGCTATCCTCATGCAACTAAGTCATGCGACGCTGAATGGCGAGAGAAGTGTGGTTTTCCAGTCTTACGATGTGACTTAATGCGACAGTGTCACGCGTTTTTGACACCAAATTCTGGCAAGAGCTGAAGACGGGAGCGTTGAATAAATAGCTCCTCAGACGTACGCGCAATAAAAAAAATTTATAAAACTGAGGTAGAAAAAGCTCATGCAGATTGTAATGACTTCACTTTGTAGACTTCGGTTCTCTTTACCGTTTAAATAGGAGGCATTGTTTTCTGTGCTCGTCTGTGTTTAAAGGGATGGCGAGTTGAAACGAAATCAGCCGAAGCCAACACTGCGGCTTGCTCAGCAGAAGATCTTCAGCGACTTAATTGGAGCCGATGATGGTGAAAGATCCTGACTTAGTCGGTAGGGTGTTGAATACCCCATCATGCCGCTACACCTACCGACTGCCAGTGAATTGTCACACCATTTGTGTTCAGTGGCATTTTCCAACCCTCTGCATCATGTGTCAACTCAGGCTTTCGTTCCTACCATTTCCTCTTCTTCCCTCCGTACATTCAACTCTCTCGTCCTCATTAATCTCCTATAAATGCCATTGACGGAGATCATGCCAATTAAACGTTAGTGTATTTTGATATTTGATTAAAAACGCCCCTACTGTGTGATCCAAGCCGTTGGTCTCTTTTCTTGCTACAATTGTTGCTTTTATTAAATGGAAAGGTCCTTGTATTATTTATCTCATGCAATCAATTACCCAACTGACGAATAGATCATGCCACGCTTTTCGTTCCCAATTTCATAATCACAGCGAAAAGTAACCTTGGCCTCTGCTTTGTCTTGCCGACTGACTACAGCGGTGGCGTGGCTTCCTCTTGAAGGATCTGACTAGTTCCACTCCTAGCGTCGGGACGATTGAAATAGATCCTGGCTGCATGCAAGTGACTGCTCATAAGACGATTCTTTATTGCCCTTTTTATGTTACTTTTTACCTTTCTTGGGGCGCATTTTTCTGCTAGAAAGTATAGCTTTAACTGTGACTTCAACTGTAGCTTCAGACCATTTTCTTTGAGTTTGTGTAAGTTCCTAGAATAGGTTTGTTATAACCTGGTTGGCTACTTATTGCTGCCTTCGGAGGGGTTACTTGATCGTCCCAACGATATTGATAAACTTATTAGAGGTAGTGAAATTGGTTCGCTACTGAGGTGTGCAATGGTGTCGGGAGGGAATGAGGTGACCGTTCAAGGGATAGTAGGATGTAGCTCTTGGACGTCTATCGAGGTGCGCATTGAAAAACACCAAACCTAGTGTGACATCAACACTGACGTGTCGCAGACGCTAATGCTGGTTCAGGCCAGAGGGTGGAAGGGGGCAGAAAGCGTAGAAGGTGCGTATGGTAAGAGAGGGGTTTCATTCAATTTTATTTGTATATGCTGGTTGTATGGACGGCGGCGAGATTTTAGGCTGTCTCAGTCGCGTCCCACAGGGAGGTAAAGGCTTAACAGGTTAGGGTCATGTTCATCATGTAAAGGCTCTTTCATTGCGTGCCTCGATAACCATTTCTTTAAACGCAACTGTACTTACTGACATTTAGAATAAGGTGCGTTTGATATTATCCTTGGTTAGAGCCATGCCATCCACTACATCGCCTCATAAAAGAATGCCCATAAAGCGGTTGTGGCACTTTTAAATAAATAATAATTTCGATGAGAACAATCAATGTAATTATGACTATATTTCATATCAATTTCATCTTCCCTATCTTGACAGGCCGCTCGAAAAATTTCGTTCAATCCGGCTCTCGTGAATCCGAGATTGCATGGTGCTTTATTGATAAACGTACACTGATCTCTAGAATGTAGCGCCTCGCTTTTATTTGGTATGATGCGATTTATGATTTTCTTGCTGCCCTCTCCTTGCTCCCTCTGCTTTACGCCCAATTGATTTTCATCCGTTCCAACCACGAGGTAGGGAGCAAGGTGGTTGGATCTTTTTTAACAGCAACGGAGGCTCTTTGACGTATGGTCGTCCATAATTACCCATTGCTTTGTAGTGAAATATAGTATTTAAAGCCAAGACAATCGAGCTATTCTGTGACCTAATGCAATATCCTATACATTTTACGCCTACTAATGTAATTACAGTAAACTGCCTCATTCATTGTTTTCGCTTAAGAGTTTAGTAAACCTTTACCTAGTGTCGGAGAGTGGCCTAACTTGTAAGCAAAACTGACTTCTGCAAACAGCAGTCGATATATTAATTAATTTGTTCCAATGCCTTGTTGGGGATATTATTACTGGAAAAGTTGGTGACACGGTGCATGTCGGAGGGGTTTGCTAAGAGGATACCACTTTATGTACTATCATTTTGCTTGATCAAGAGCTCCAGAACAGGATATGGCTTAGGAAAGCAGAAAATGAGGTTCCTCGTGCAGTTATATCTGAATGTTCCATCCAATTTTAAAAGCAGTAAGTAGTATAACGTCAACCTCCATACCTACCATGTTCTTCACTTCAGTCTGTGGAAGAATGGTTACTTGAAGATGGTTTGGTTGGTAATTTAAAAGAGGTACAGACCGAGATGAGTACGGTAGATGATTATCTACGCCAATTCAATTGGAATTGATTTACCATCGCTTCCCTACGGGGCACATTTTAGACAACCAGTATGTACTCCGTGTTCAACTTACTCAATTATGGTATCCCTCAAGGGATGCATCACTCGACGACTTGGGACCCATCGAGTTCGGAAGTACGAGGTAATATGTTAATGGTATTTTGTCCAATTAAAACAAACTTTGACCTAAACTACGAGTAAGTTAGGTAGATCATCGAGTTTATTCATTAAGCATTGTGTTACCATTATCAACAATATATCCAAACCAGGATGGGTCATCGTTATTCGCTTGGGAACGCTCGTGCGATTGATTATAGCTGAGTCCCATTTTCACCGGTCAAATTTTTTACGAAACCATCACAGTGTGTTGCTCTGGCAAACGCACTTTACTGATCGATTTCATATGAACTTGCAGAGAGAACCAAATGTGAGGTTGCCTTGTTCGGTGAATCCGTTTTATCACAAAACCCGTGTCTAGCTCAGACTACTAAGCGTGAATTTCTACTCATGATTCGACTCACAGTGAGCTCAATCGGTTGATTCCTGAATTGGCTACTTGTTAGACTTAAACAAAGCACAGTTCATTTTAACACTGACATTTTAGGATTGCATTAGCACAAGGCTTTTGTAAAAACACGAATTTTTGTAAAATTTCATTTGATAGAGATGCAAAAACGGATTAAAGAATGAGGTAGAGATGTGTGCGGGGCGTGCGCCTTTGAGAGGTCACGCGACTGGTGGCTAGCCGAAAAAAGAGCGTTTGGAAGCATTTGCTCAAGGAAGCGAAATATAAGGTGCGAGACCCATGACCCAAAAGGGATAAAGGGCGGTAATCAGGTGCTCACTGCGTTAACTATTACTGATCAAACAAACTATTTTAGGATCCCGATTCTATGAATTCGCCTAGGGGTAGAAGTTTATTTCATAGACCAAGTGAATAGGATGCAAAATCGCCGCAAAGAGATTTTTGGTGATGCAGAAATGTAGAAATCGTGCTCCTTGTTGCTGGTGGAAGTATTCAACCCATGCTCTGTTGTATAATGTGGATTCTTGTGACTCATAAAAACTACTCAACAATTTCATATCGTTAAAAGTTATGGTCCACTGAAAGGAGCGCCTACTAAAACAGAAGTCATATTTAAAATTTATTGCATTTGCTTATTAGCAGCGCAATCGACCTCTGTTTATGTTTCCATTGCAGACCTCCAAACTGTTTCATAACTAATTCTCTCTCACGTTCAGTTCCGAAAAAACGTATCTCATTTCAGGGCAAATACTAGTTTGTCTTGTTTTGGCAGATACAAGAAGAGAAAAACCCTACCAGTAAATCGAGTCCATAATTTGGGCAATTTTTCAGAGTAAAGTGGAAATAGGCTAGCATTAGATATTTGTGAGGTCCGAGGTAATAAGGAGATCGGAGTTAAAAATCTGCTGTGTCGACACCAAAGGTGTCGACCACAACACCTTGCACAGCAGTCGATTTGCGTGTTCGCCAACTCCAATCTTTAGAAAATATGCAAAAACTGAAGCATTGCATGCATGTTTATTTCTATTCCTATCCATGCTGTACCATATTCACCATTTGTGGATGGAGGAGTTACGAGCAGTGACAAGCAAAGAAAGATACCGACAATCAAGGCGTGAACTATTTGGTGTTTCTTACGAGAGATAGAGGGCTTAGAGACAACAAAGGCAGCATGAATGTCATTTGAAAGCTTTTATTATGTTATACATGTGGTGCCGAGAAGTCCTCCATGCTTTCAGAATCAAGTTTGGCTGTTTGTTCAAAGCTATCCCACGGCTACGATATTCAACTGTATGACTCAACGTTCAAGAAAAGCAAACAGTGATCAGACAAATTATTAGATCATTTTATTGCACATTATATCTAAGTACTCGTATTTTGTGCTTTGATTATGAAGTATGAGCTTGAATTATGATTCTTCAGTCCTTACGAAGTAACAAAACCTGATAAACACTTGAAAGATTTAAAGAGAAAAAGATGTAATTGTGTGTCTTATAGTGGCTGATTTTATGATCCCCTCTGCACACTGGTGCCCATGTAACGCGCAAGGTTCAACAACTAATTGTGAGGAAATAAATTGTGGAGCATCAGCAAAACTACCAGATCGCACCACAAAGTACTTTAGTCAGCAACTTTGAAAGAGGTGTAATGTGCGCCAGTGCAGCCTAAAATTCAAGCACTGGTGATTGGTTTCACATTACAATAAAAAGCGGTATTGCTGCGGTGTTCATCGCTCTGACATTGTCTATGGATGAAATAATTGTGACCTCCTGAAACTTCCTTAAGGTTGAAGGCTGAATACATGATGAAGCGCGTAGAATTAGCAAAAGAAAATTTAAACTCCTGGTTTGCCTCAGGTTCTCGTTCACACAGCAGAGTACTTGTGGCTCCGCTAGTGGCTGCAATTGAAACTGGTAGCCAATCAAACAACAAAGCATTACGTATCAATCCATATAAATGTTTCTAGAGGGCCTCGACATTAGACAAAGAAGGATCAATCTTGATAACTGTTTGTGTAAGTGTAAAGGTCTGCTAATAGACTTTGGATGAAAATGACATTAAGAAAATCACATGATGATAATGAGCCTCGCTAATACTGATCCAGAGTCTTTGATAGTGTACCATTTCACCAAACTTTAGTAAATTGAAAAAAATTATTCTTCAGTTGATTGATTTTACCCCTATAACATCGAAAAAGGAGGGATCCAATACGACTTTTAGTTTGGAAAACAGGTCAGTAGACTATTGCTTACATGACAACTGCGGCACCTTGAAATTAGTGCTTGAGCAGCACATGATTTCCCCCTCTACCACAATGTTGTTGGTGTACAAAAAATACTGCCTTTGTCGGTGTTCCTTCTTTTCGTGAGATTTTTTGATACTTTAAACCCTACTGCGCAAATGAGAAGAGCGCTTGATAGATCGTTTCACCTCAATTGACACCGCCTCAGATAAGATGCGTAAATCATGGCGAAATTAGTAAGAAATAATAAAAGAAACTTTGAGAGGATTGTTAGCTAACTTTTATTTGGCTTTAATGAGTCCTGCCAATTGTGAGTGGTAGAGCTTCTGTTCTAGGTAATGAAACACCCTCCAGCAGTAAGGTAGAGACCTCCAAGAGCCAAACTAGACGTTTTCAGAAAGTGCTTATTTGTCATTTCCATTAATCTTCTTCATAGTGTATATCAGGATAGGTTGATATTTGAACTTCTTTTATTTCCCACCTCCATCATTTTGCTTAGAGGAGAACAGTCACTTTGAAAGGTGGCTCAAAACTGAACGCAAAACTTGATTTGCGTTGACACTGTGGCTAAGTCACCGTGCGTTTTTATTAGGCTAAAGAGTTTTGAAAGGCGTGCAGCTGCAATCTTGTGCAATATGTTGTGCGATTCGATAGATCAAGGCGCTCCAAAGTGGAGCGTATAAGCTGAACTGCGGTGAGGCGGATGGTGCTATTGTGCGTGCTTCTATATGCTATTTGCATTGAGGCTGTGTTGGCAAGATGTGTAACTGCGAAAGCTGTAGGCTTGCTCATGCTTAAGTGGCCTCTACTCTGCTGAGCTCTCAACGCTTGTGTGTGTGCCTGTGCTAATTTTTTGGCGAAATAATCTTCTTCATTCTAGACACTTATCAAAGGTTAAAACCAGCACTAACAACGGCCCATAGTGTAACAGTTGCGTACCCATCAGTCAAGATTTATCGCTTGTAACTGAAATTCGTATCTATTTAAGCTACATTTTCCGGGATTCTTAGCTCCTCTTAGAGGCTTTTTATACAATTTACGGTCGCCTGCTTTATGGTCACACAAATTTAAGGTAAAAATGTAGACTTTGACTTACCTTACAAAAGGAAAGTTTGTAAATTTGGAGAAGTTTTTCCTACATTACTCATCGCAATGTCTTTACTTCTCTCTGCTAAAAAAGTGTAGCACGTGACTAGTTATGTTGAAAACGACTGTTACACAGTAAGTATTGCATTTTTCTAAGCAGAAATCGCATGTTGGAGCACATCAACCCCGACTTATGCGAAAGTGTGCTATACAAGCATGCCTCGACAGTCGAACGCCTTAAAACGAGCGAATTCGTTAGAATTGAGTGGCCTCTTTGGAAATAAGCTATTCGAAAACGACTTTATCTTCTTAGTTTTTTTAAATTTCATAATGTTGCATTTTCAGTTTCTAATCCGAAACATGGCTATGGCATTTGGAAAGAGTGAACTTCAGATCTGGGAGAACTTGGAGAGGAGGGGAACACAAGAGCAGTAAAATTACTGTTTTCGCGTATAATTTTTGACTTGGCGGTATAAAACTTAGCGATGTGCATGCATGGCATGGCATGTTTAGTGCAAAAGCACTATTTCTCATAACTCGCTCTCGAATTTTGAAGGATGCAGACCTTTCCTTGTGACGTCTTCACCAATTTAAAAGAAAAACGCAAAGGAATTCCTTTTTAGGATTGGAATTATAGCCAATAAGAGGAATCGTCTGTCTCATAATAATCGGTTGAGTATTTTTGCGTAAGAAAATGGGAGTTTACCTAGCACCTTGAGACCTCCGTGAGGACTGAAGAAAGACACAATACTTGACCCACAATACGGATTTGGACCACTGACAAGACTAAGGATCAAGGTCAGTTAAAGACTGTTGAACACCATAGCCTCAAAGCCATGATCTACAAAACAATCAAGGTATCACACCGAATTGGCGACTCCTTTAAAATTTCGATGAAAATGATGCTTATTTCAATGTTGGTGATTTTGCCCTAGATGGGGTGAGCTTAACAAATCTAAATTAGACGGTAAATGCACACATCACACAAAGCCTTGTAAGGTCACTTGTCTCACACAGGAATTCAGGTAAGTGGAAGGAGGTATGGGTGGTTCATCCAAGGACAGAAAGGAGCTCAACTATTAACCCAACAACCCATTTCAGTAGTGTTAGATAATTTTACAACGCTTGATTGTAAGCTTGATGTTGGGAAATTCAACGTCACTTACAATAAATATTTTTAAACAAATTTAGCTCAGTGGGGAAGGAATCCAGGGCGTCTTAAAGTCTCGGTGTTACCTGATAATCTTAAGTGCTCAACTATTTCTGGTGAAATTGGAAAAGGAGGCGACTTCAGTGACTTTGACTTTTATGTTTGTATCAGTAGCAAGTTGCTCACGGGAAGAAGTAGAATGGACACTTCAGTGACATGATGATATGGCAATAGCCTTATGATGCATAAATTCTTCTACCACCTCTACCACCACCTCCGTTCCATTGAATTTTTATGCCAGTACGTCTTCGCAATACAACAAAGTTTGGTATTGTCCCTAATTACTGACCCTCAACGCATTGGGTCTTCCTTGAAAACAGAAGGGCAAAGTTTCTCTCTACGGCACGAGGAAGGGCTGTAAAAGGCGACAAAGATAGCCTAAAGGGTCTCAAAGTTTGGATGAAGTACGAGGTCTTCAAAAAATTCATGAAGTCCTACAAGCGATAAATATGCAACAGAAATGTTTTTGCATTATCTATGGAAAAAGAAGTCGTTTAGAGCGTCAGAAAGCTATGTAACAGTACATTATCCACGCTTTGCCACAATTTCCGGCGAGAACATGAAACCCCAAAAATTTAATGGATTACACTATTCCGAGTACAGTAGAGTTGATGTCCTTTAAAGCCTACAGCCCAGTTTGAAATTCTGCAAAACTTAACGCTATTCGGCAGCCCACTGTCATTTAAGGCAAGTGTGTTAAAACAAATCATTTTATAAGAAATCTTTGTTAAATACATTGAGAACTCCAAGTGATGTTGGCTCTTCTTATTGTGTAGTAGTGCGGTTTCTGTCCCATCAACAGGGAGATAAGTGGGCAAGTGATAGAGTGTACAGTGCGCTTTAAACATGGAGGCAAGCGCCTCTCACAAAGTAGAGGGCGTTGTGGAAATGTGTCAAGCCGCCCCCTCACCTGCACGCTCTCGCTCATTGGGTTGAGTCACATTGTGTTTGTGCTCACTCAAGCACACACAAATGCAGCGCTTTACTAAACACCCCCAAAGAAATCCACAAAACATCGCCAATTGGCTCCTTACAAGTCTCTATAAGGCCGTTCTCACACACAGTGATATTCATTCGTGCACGAGAGTGAGCTACGACGAAGCTAAAGGGCATAACACGCTTTTCGCACATCGATTTACACACACTACTTTAATTCGTGTACCAATTTCGATTTCGAGTAAACATCAACTTTTAACCAAAGAGAACTTCTTAATTAGGCGTCAGAATGGACGCTGGAACTATTTTTGATGAACGACCGCGAGCGGAAACTCTACCGCACATTTTGGTAAGATTGTTCTTGCCTTTCTTTATTACTTCTTTAAATGGTGTAGGCATAGGCTTCAGTTCTATCTACTAAGCTGACTTAAGGGAACTTTATGTTTCGTTCATTTAAAGGGCGAAGTAACCCTTTATCTGTCAATTACTAAATGGAATGCGTCACTATAACAAAAACGTAAAATTTCCTTGAAAAGAATAAATGCCTTAGGATACACTTATAAAAATAATCTTAATTTAGGCGTGTACGAGGAAATCGTGACACGATTTATCTTTCATTAAAAAGATACTAACTAAGAGGCGTGCCACAATTCAAAATACTGAGCTTTTCCATCTGTAGTCAAAGCCTCGGTAACTAAAACTGCCCACACTATGTAGTATTAAGATATTGGAATGAACTACGAGACATTATTAAGGTGAGAAAACTTATTGTGAGAGAGAACAAGAGGAGGTTATGTTTTAACGAATGGTACAGAATTCCAGCCTCCCAACACTAAATTTCGTGTATGTGCTTCGCATAAGATACCCAAAGTATAGCACCAAATTATGAAGAAATTCCCCCTAAAAGGTGTTCGAAGGAAATTTCATCTACTGCTCTGTGCAACGGTGATATGATATCATTTTACTTGAGAGAGATTAATCTCCATTATGATGTAAAAAGGGCGATAAGACGCCAAATTCGTACGTACCAGAACATTCAAGTGCTTTTCGATTACATTGCTTTGATATTATTTTTTTATAAATTGTAGTCTGGTATAAACATGGAGTACATTGGTGAGACTCATCAAGCTCTGGAGCAAGAACTCGACTACCAAACATACCTTGAGGATGAATTAAAAAATTGCGTTTCAAGGGTGAGTATTGTGATTGCATAGAGTCATCACAATGAGAGTGGCTAAGGAAAAGGATTTTTGTTTCTTTTTGTCAATTTAGGGACTATGCTCTGAGCAGGATGCAAGTAATCTCCAGACTCTCATCAACATCAATCGAGAGCACTTGGATTTCCTCTCCCCCATCACCAGTCTGGAACACATGTTTTCTGTAAGTGATTACCTAGTTTTCTGTCTAGTCGTCAGCTCTACCTCTCTCGTCCTCACTTAAGTTTTAACTTGTGGCTGTCGCACACTGGAACACCACAGTAATGCAATTTATCGACTCTGCTGAGCAGTATAACATGGGTACGCAACATTTATGGCTTAGTAAGTGCTAGGCGTGTAGCATTTCATAAGCACGCGCTCTCTTGGGCACCTTCTTGAATTGGCAATTGTGCCATCCTCAATTAGTTCATGTGTTATTCTGTTTATTAGTCAGCAGAAAATCATGTTGCGAAGCAAGAGCTTGAGAAACTGCGTGGTAAGGTAGTTGGCACACCTCAGTGGGTTGCCAAGACTTGGTGCGCAACCTTGTTGACACTCCATTTGCGTTCGCGCACGTGCGCTTGTGAGTACGTGCGTGCACGGGCGTAGCCGTGAGGTAACACACAGAAGGCGATATGCAAATTAATGTTTTGCATAAATCAGAATGCAAAATTAGGAGCATTCCTTCATTCACCTACCTCAACACGCTTTATCTCGTTTTGACAGCAATATGGTTAATCCAAAGTCATGCGTTTGCAACCATGAGTATGCCGAATTCGAGAGGACCATTTTTATAGGATCTGCTCCGAGCTTCAGTCTAATTTAATCAAATAATTTGGCTGTATTACAATCAAAGATGTGGCTGCAGGAACTTGTTCTTCGCTTCTTCCTCCACAAATTAAATTTAACTTATTTGGAGGAGCCTTGCCGTGTGAAATCTTGATATGTTGACCTGCTCTGAGCGAAAAAAATAGTATAATAGCAAAAGCAATTGTAAGCCAAGCTGTAGCAAATAATTTCGCTTCTGTACTTTATAGGAGATGGTCCAAAAAGTTTCAGATCGTGCAGTGGATCTTGTGAACGTTCAATGCAGCCCATCATTTTGGGACCGTGTAAGTGGGGCAGTCAATTAGGTGTGACTGATGAATTCCTACTTATAATTTAGTCAGTAGAGCTTACATATTGGCTCTCACTTTGCAGAACCTAAGTAAGAACACTCGGGCTTGTTGGAAAACTGTTCAACGGTTCTCCCATGTCAGTCGAGTTCACATTTCGAATGCGTCTGAATACCAAATGGTAAAAGTTACCTGCCGCTCAATAAGTTCATCATTTATTATCGTGATTAACAATTTCTTGTTCCTTTCCATTAGTTCTACTACAACTGTGACCACTTCCTCAAGTCTCTTCAAAAAAGAGCTGAAGTAAATTATAACCGCTACAAGGACATTGATGTTGAATACCCGTCGATTACCACTACTCGTCTTAACTCTTACATAACCGTAAGTTTAGCAACGACAGCTATAATAATGTATGTGGACTTTCGCTGCAACGCATAAATTTTAATTTATAGGAAGGTCTTTTCAAGTTTCAATCCCTAGCCTCAGAAGTATTGCGAATTCTGGACAAGGCACAGCATGTGAATCCAGTGTACCTACGAGTACGGGGACTGAATCGTCCGGTTTCGGGTATAATGCTCTGTGACTACTCTACCAAGAACTTCGGTCTACGTGCAGGCCAGCATGTCTACGTCCTGGACAATGCATACGTAACACCATTGAATACCAATTCAGAGACAACAGACGCTTCAGAAACCTCCGAATGTAGCACATGCTCCCCTTACTGTAGCCTTCATAATCGTCCAGGCTGTGAGATTTGCGGAATGCCATTGTCCACCACCACAGGAACAACAAGCGCGACAGATGTGGAGGAAGCGGAGTTGGGGATGGCAGCGGAGGAGGACATACACAGAAAGCGTCAGAGAAATCTTAGTGATTGCTCAACAGCCACTGGAACTGTTGGTGGTCCCAGTGATGTGTCCATCACTACCACCCCACCTGGATGCACTCACACTCTCTGCAGTCAACGCGAGCCCGTAATGTGGAAGGTCCGTACCATGGATGGCAGCCTAACCGTCGATGTACCAGCTGTTACAGTGATGATTAATGAGCATGATGAAGAGGCCATCAGCCATGCCTACGAGTGAGTAAAATGATGCTTACTAAAAACAAAATTTTTCATGTCCTCATTTCATTTTAAATTATGACTGATTTTAGAGTAAGGGACCCTGAGAAATTGAAGATCTTTCTAAAACCCTTTCTTTTAACTTTAGAATTTACGACTTCTTTGCCAACATGTGGAGGGAAGCCATTGACATTTGGCTAACAAAGGGCGTGAAAGCACTTTCTTCATACTTTTCAAGTCTCATTGAGGCTAAGGTTAGAAGTTCATTTGCCACTACTTCATAGTGCATGCCAATTTGATGCTTATAATGAGTGGAGCACGTCTGTAATCATAGAATAGTTAGAGTGGTAAATGAGATAGTAATGATGTTAAAACATTACCAGCTTTCTAAATTTTCAGTATATCCAATTGGAAAGTGAAAGAACTTTTGAGCAATTTTTGGAGGAAGTTGAAAGAGCTTTTCCGTGTGAGGATCCAGAGAGTGGAACAGCGAATAAAGTCCTCAATGAAATGATTGCCACGTTGAAGGAAAAAATACGTCTTCAGGACACTTGTATGTTCATGAAAGAGTATTCTAATCACATTTCAATATAGGCGAAGAAACCACCGAATTAATGTACGTAAAGGTCACCGAAGTGGCATCGTACCGAAAAACCGTTCAGAAGTTGAGAGTAAGTTGGATGTATGAGATCTGATTGAATCAAGGTGAGGTAAACTTTGAAATAAATTAGGCTACCTATTCAACATTTTGCAATTAATATAATATAACGGATTTTTAGGATCATGTCAACCAAATCAAGCGCTTCATGAAGGATATTGAGGAAAATTCCAGACAGGACATTATCGACGAAACAACCATGAAATCTGTTGGAGACCTAAAATACGTCTAGTAAGCTTGTCTATTCTATGTAATCTGGAATTATAGCGAAGAGTCGGTAGAGCAACATAAAAAACTAGAGAAAATGCTCCGTCAAGTAAATGCCTTCCGAGCTCACCAACATTCTCCGAGGATTCCAGTTCATAAAATTCACAGCATCTTCGGTGAGTATTATTCTTCGTCAGAGGAGATTACTAGCGAATCTGAAACAAGTGATTCGCAGTACAACGTTGAAAAAGACAAGAGTTTTTCGCCCCATGAATTTGAGATATGTAGTAGGGATGAAACTCATCGGACGGCAGCTCTTACTAATAGATCACGATTTATCAGAAAGCCACATCGAAAAGCCGTCATCCCGGGAGTTGATGACTTAATGACAGAATCCAGTGATGAGGCTGACGTCGTTGGACTTCGCAGAACGGGTAAACTCCATAACAAACCAACTTCCGAAAGATCTGGTGAACAGGTGTTGGAGGTAGTTGAGAAGGCTAAGGATACAGTGATTAGTTCATTGACACTAAATCGAAAAATTAATTTGGAAAAAGCGATGCGGCTACGGGGTGATGTTAGAAAGATTTCCTCCTTGGATGGACGGTATCGAAGTCGTCGTCAACTGCAATTTACGCCTGGGTCAAATAAAGGTGATGTCTCGATGGTCTACTTGCAAATAACCGCTGCTAAGAGCACGCAAGATACTATGATTCCAACTGGTGAGAACCAGCAAAGTAGAGGAATTCAACTGGACATCGAGAAAATTCCGATAGATGCAAAAGACGTGCTTAAAGTAGAGCCTAGAGTTGCATCATGGCAATCAGATGAAAATGGTGAAATGAGGTTAAAACATGATGTATCACTGGAACCGTCTCAGCAGGAACCAAGAGAACGTGGACCAAGTTCAGAAAGAACAATGGAAGCAATAGTGTCTGGAACAACGAAATGTGCGGGTCATTGCGAACATGGCGTTCAAATGACAAGCCGAGACGAATTCGAAGGAATATTAAAACCACCAATGTTCAATTGTTTCACAACGTCAACTCAAACATCAATTCGAAGGAGAGGTACTAAATCAACTGCAACAATAACTGACTTGCAAATAGAGCCTACACAGCGCAGTGAATCACCTCTACTACATCAGGTACCATCATTGGAAAATATAACCTCAACTTCTAAGACACAACCGCATGCGGTGGAAACGAGGTCCGGTGGGTTGAGTTTTATGCAGCCTGGTTCAGACATCAGAGCACGAGTGAGAGGAATCAATAGCATATCAGTTATTGCGGTATCTACTATACCTTCGAATGATGTTAAAGATGCCTGGACGAGAACAGATATAATTGAGGAAATAGTACCTATGGTACAACATGAGGATACCATTCAAACTCACGCAGCTAGCCCGATTGAGGCGACTACTATGCGTATAACGTTACGGTATGGTTCGATCCAGACACAGCCTCCCTTTTTAAAGGAATATATTTTCGAAGAGGTTGGAAAAATCAAGGAGCCCGTGCAATTGATTAAAAAAGAGGGTGCTGTTACTGTTAGATCAGAACCATCGATTGAAATAAATCCAATCCCAATCAAATTAAAGTACGGTTCTGTTATGGTACCCATCCAATCGCATCCGCATACAGCGGCGGTAAAACCGACAAAAATCTCAACTGCATCAGTGACTGATGTGTTGATTCGTCCTGAACCGTTTAGCGTTGACAAACTTACTGCAATTAAAATAAAAGATTCGGGCAGTAAAGACACATTAGAAAAAGCTCGTAAAAAAATATCGTCAACGTCCAAAGATACAATGCACAAATTTACAAGTCATGATATTGGCATCACCACCGAGTGTTTAGCTACATACGTTGACGCATGGACAGAAACAGCTGCGATAGGACACGATTTATCTGAAGTGAAGCCTACCCATGTAAAAGCAAGGTATGGTTTGGTACAAACTGGACTGGATTCGAAATCGGAATTAATAACCTCAAAGCAGGTAAAGGAGGCGATGCCGATGATAGAGAAGGAAAGCGCAGTGGTTGTGCGCTCAGCTCCACCAGTG